TTATCTCTGGCCATCTGGCTCCGTGGGGGTAAGGGGGGGGCACACCAGGTGGGCCCCCGTCCACCTGGCTCTAGGGCCCGTGCACTGCCGCGCAGGACAGGTGATGCAGCTGGCCAAGGCTGCTTTCCTGGGCGGCAGCGCAGCGGGCCGCTGAGTAATTCGGCAGGATTTTGGACCACGCCCCTCTCCTCTCGAGGCCCCTGGCGGCTTTCCCCCTCTCCTCCTGGCGGGGTCCACTGGAGCCTCTGGCTCTTAGGTTCGCCTAGGCCTCGCCCCCCCGCTCCTCCTCCGCCCCGAGATCCTGGAGGCCTCCTTCCTCTCCCCCTGGGCGGGCCCCCCCCCCCCTGCGCCGAGGGCGCCAGCGTGTCGGCCGCGCGCGCGGCTTGGCATGGGCGCATCGGCGCCCCCGATGCGGCACAGGGAGAGACCCTCATGCCGCGGCAAACAGCGGAAACAGCGGAGCAGGAGGATGATGAGGATGAGGAGGAGGAGGAGGCGGAGGATAATGAGGGATGGTTGAGGGAGGGTGACGGGGAGGAGGAGGAAGGGGGATGAGGAGGAAGGGGGAAGGAGGAGAGAGCGGGAGGCACATCCCCTACTACTCTCGCTTGTCCATCCCTCTTCGTATCCGCCAGCGTGTCGCTGGGCACGGAGTGGGCGTGTCCTCAGGTCCTGGGACCGATCCTCTAAGCTTCAATTCTCACTCCTGAGGAGTCTTGTAGGGGCCCAGACCCCACATGCTCAAATCTCCTGGGGCTCCTGGCGTGCTCTCTGGGTTCCCCCGCGCGGTGGCGCGTGATTTTTTCAGGCCCAAGGAGGCCCCCAGACGGGCCAAGAGGGCTCCAGGATGCCTCCAAGACGGCCCAACAGGACTCCGATACGCCCAAACATTGCCCCAAGACGCCAAGGCTGGCCCCAAGACTGCCAAGAAACCGCCTATACGCCCCAAGAGGCCTCGAAGAGGCCTCCCAAGAGAGCCCCACGAGGCACAACTGATGAACTTTCGTTGGTTTTTGATGATCATCGCGTTCTCGCCTTTTCGGTTTCCCGACGTGCCCCCCAAAACCATAACAGAAACGGCCCAAGTGGCCTCCAAGAGCGCCACCAGAAGGCCCAGGAGGGCTCCAAGGCGGCCCCAAAAGGGACCCAAGAGAGCGAACATGCACAACATATCCGAGCCTTCTGCCCCAAGAGGAACCCAGGAGGCCCCCAGAGGCCTCAAGAGGCCCCCAAGAGGTCCCCCAAAGGCCCCAAGAGGCCCCCAAGGAAACCAACGAAAGCCCCAAGAGGCCCCGACGGCTCCCAAGAGGCCTCCGAACTGCCTCCACAAAGCCCCCGAGAGGCCTCTCACGAGATCCCAAACGAACATCCAATACGATACATACCCTCAACACAGGCACGGTGGCGGGATGGGCTAAAGGCCATTCGATCTGCCGCCCCCTGTCGATTCATCGCAGGGGTGCCTGGCGTGCCGGATAACATGGGTTTTGGTTTTGGTTCTTTTTCCCAAAGAACTCCCCTTGGGGCTTCGGCCCGTCCCGCAAGGGTCCCGGGAGATTGCCGAAAACCCCGTGTCAAATGTTTTTCCTGCTCCAGACGGCTCCAAGACGGCCCAAGATGGTCTCCAAGATGCATCCAAGACGGCCAAAATGACTTCCAAGACGGCTCAGATGGCTCCAAGATGCCTCCAAGACAAGCCAAGATGCACTCAGCACGGCCTAAGATAGCCTCAACATGGCCCCAGACGGCCCAAGAGGCCTCCAAGACGGCCCAAGAGGCCTCCAAGAGGTCCTCCAGGAAGGCCCGAAGAGGCCAAAATCGTTGGTTCTCCTTTTCGACTTTCCGACGGCCCCAGGCGGCCCAAGAGGCTCCTAAGATCGCCCCAAGATCGCCCAAGAGGCCTCCAAGAGGGCCCCATGACGACCCAAGTGGCCTCCAAGAGGGCCCCATGACGGCCCCCAAGACGGCCCCAAGAGAGCGCCAAGACGGCCCAAGAGGCCTCGAAGACGCCCAAGATGGACTCCAAGAGAGCCCTGGAGCACCCCAAGAGGGCCCCAAGTCGGCCCAGAAAGGCACCCGAAACGGCTTCCGACGGCGTCAGACGGGCCAGGAGCCCACCAAGATGGCCGAAGGTGGCTCGCAGCTGGCCCAAGACGGCCCAAGAGGCCTCCAAGAGGGCCTCCAGGAAGGCCAGAAAAGGCCAAAAAGATTGATTGTGCAACGGTTTTTTACGGATGTTGACATTTGCTTCGTTTCGGCCGCCCGACGGCCCGATACGGCCCAAGCGCTCCCAAAGATCGCTCAATGATCGCCCAAGAGCCCTCCAAGATGGCCCCAGAACAGCCCGAGAGGCGCCAAAGACGGCCCAAGATGCCTCCAAGACGCTCAAGAAGGCCTCCAAGACGGCCCACGAGCCCTCCAAGACGTCCTCCAAGAAGACCCGAAAGAGTCAAAATGGCCTCCAGGCGGCCAAGATGACCTTCAAGATGCCCACGTGTTCCCCGAAGGCTTTCCAAACCGATTCGGAGCACACGTGGTCCGATAGCTTGGCAGGTCTGGCCTCAACGTTCGGCCACATAGGCGCTTCCACAAAGGCAGGGGGCGGCGGTGATTCGCCGTAGGCGTCTTCGATCCATACATCTGCCTTTCGTGTACCCAGACGTGTCGGCAGGACGGGCCTGGCGTTTCGCCTGAGGCGTGAATTTTCCTCACCAGTTATGGTCCTGAAGCTTGAAGTGTGCAGCACTTTCCGAAGATAGAGGGCCAGCTCTTTTCAATCATGGGAGGTGGGGGCGGTGGAAACCGAGGTTTTTAGGGCCAGTCTATTTCACCGCCGAGTGGCTAGGGGGGTAATCAAAACTCAAGACCTCCCGAGGTTACAGTCAAAAACCCTCTAATAAGGACGCGCGGTAAGGACGCACGACCCTTGGAAGCCGAAGTTGAGATGTTTGGGGCGGCGGACGACGAAAACCTCAAGGACGCAAGAGCAAGGAAGAGCAAGGCCGCAAGGGTACCCTGAGCAAAGTCGCGCCTCCTGATCAGGGTTCTTGACTGTAGCCCGTAGGGCACTGTTGTGAAGCGCCCGCCTCGCAACAGCTGCGAGACGATGCCTCGGAGCGCGCGCCGCCCCTTTTGGGGGGAGGCGACGCGCCCACAGCACCGGCATGCTGGGCCGACGCCTGTCCCTCCGGGGAGGACAAGAGGCACCCATGCCTCTGCCCCTCGGCCGGCTTCCTCTTTTTGTTGGGGGGGCCTCCTGGGAGGCACCCGTCGCCATCGCCGGAGTCGCCCCGAAGAGAGGGTCAGACCGCACCCGGGGGGAGGTCTTGTGGGGGCAGCGGCATCGGTACCTGTGTTGGTCTGCCCCAATCCCGCCCACAGCACGAGAGCCAACGCCGACGCCGTCTGGCGCGAGGCCCCCGCCCCTCGCGAGCGGAGGGTGCTCGCGCGCGGCCCCGCTCCCCAGGGGCCTGGCGGAAGGAACGGCACGGGCCGCGCACGGGCGGGCGCGGCAGCTCCAGAGCATCCACGGGGGCTGTGCCAACCCCCGATGCTTTCTAAACCGCGACAGCCACCAGTGGAAAAGTTGTGTGCTTGAAGTGATCCGCGTGTTGGCGGACTACCATGGATGCGAAGATTGCGGCGCCAGCGGGAAACCTGCCGATCTCTGCTCTGCCTACTGAAAGCGGATCCCCTTCGGGGATCACCCGTTAAGTTTGGAACGGCGCAGAGAAGATTAGCATGGGTATGTGTCAACCCCCATCCTAGGCTTCGTGGGGTTTTCGACTGGACCAGAGGTGGGGTGCCCAACCCTGGGATATACGATGGGGTGGCGAGGCGTCCACCCTCGAAAGGGGTGCGTCCGAATAGCCCCCTTTGGGGCCCTTTTGTTCTGAACGCCCAAGCTTTTCGGGCGGAACTCGGGGATTGAGGGAGAACATCGCCTGCGACAACGTGCGCCGCGGCACGAAACGGCACTGCAACTTTCGCTCGAACTCTGCGCAGCGAATTAGCGATGTCAGCGCTGCGCCGGCTTGCGCGCGGCACCGCTGCCGCCGCTGCCGCTTGTGGCGACGCGGCAAAAGAAACATACGCGCTGAGCCTGGGCGGGAACGCAATCGTCACGCGAAATCTGCACGAGACGTGAGCGATAGCGACCATTTGCCTTATCTTCCCTCAAACACAGCAGCAATGACGACTACCGCGCGAGAACCAGGTGCGCCGGCAGAATGCGCGAGGCAGGCCCGAAGCAATTGCCTGCACAGTGAAAGCAGAACGCTATGGCGACCGCTCGCCCGCTCGCGCGCGCTCTCGCTCCCAACCATTGGGCGAGTGATACGCATGCGCCGCGCCCACCTGAACGACGAGCGAAAAAAGGGGGCCGCGCCCCAGCAGCAACCCAACAACTAGGAGCACGGAGTGTGGCACCGCGGCAAGAGCGGCGTTTCGCCCTCTCGCTCGCTCGCGATGTGCGCCCCGTCCAATTCCCTCCACGCGTTCTGCAACGTCGACGCCAAACTGTCAACGTTGAGGAGAAACTTCTACACTGTCCTTCGGTGGGTTGGATGGCAGGTTCTGGATACGGGGGCGATCCGCCTGCTGGTCCGCCGCGTGAGAATATCTCCCAACAGGGAAGAAGGACGGGTGGAAAGATCATGAGGAATGAGGAATCCGAATCCGAAGAAGGAATCCGAGGAGGAAGGAGGAATGAGGATCATGAGGAATGAGGAATGAGGAATCTCCCAACGTGAGAATATCTCCCATGAGGAATCCGAATCCGAATCCAGCTCATGGAGTTCTGATCATCTCAACAACCCATCGTGGACGACTGCTGCCGATATTGCGCGAACTCTGAGGGGTCTGAATTAGACAAGCAACACTGCTTCCAACTAGCGCTCTCGGCGCGGGGCCGCAATGCCCTCCCCAAGGGCACCCCCAGAAGGCATGAGGAGGGAGGGGGGAGGAAACGCCAAGGACTAGGCACAGAGAAGGTCCCGGCCTCACAAGTCCCAGGGTCCCTCCAGCGCCTCCTCCAGCTCGCACAGCTTCTTGAGGTCGCCGTCGCTCCACGAGCGATGCCTGCATCACGGGGCCCGGCCAGGGGGGCCCAGATCATTTGATACCGATTTCTGTCGGTCGCGATCAGTAGCGACCGATCGGCATTCCAAATCGGTCGTCGCCACCGATCGCGACCGATCGGTCGCGACAGACTGGTCACGACCGATCTTGAAGCACATCGGTTGCGAACGACACCGAAATTTGAAGCAAAATCGGTAGCGACAGATCTCGTCGGTCGCGACTGGAAAATTCCCGCATCAAATGATCAGGGGGGGAGCGGGAGGAGCGGGGGAAATAATCACAGGACGCCGTGCCTCGAGCTCGGCGCCCAGCTGAAGAAAAGAAGGACTCCGCCGACCCCCGCCCGCTGGGGAAATAGTATAAAGAAACAACGCAATAAACATAAACTATTGGCGCTCCGCGCGGATTTCTTGGATCTGCGCTGGATCTGCGCCGGAGGCGCCGCCATGGGGCCCCAGCGCGGAACCAAGAAATCCGCACGGAGCGTCGAAAGTTTGTGTGTATGTGTTTTTGTTCTTCTTCGAGGAAAGCAAGGTGTTCGAGACATCTGAGTGTCTCCGCTCCCTCTTCGTTTTTCCGAGACCTCGGTTACGGAGGGGGGATGCGAACTCGCCAGTGCACCCCCCGGGGCCCTCGGATCCTCGATATACAACCTCCGTCGCCTCCAAGATGCTCAGGATGCTTTCCAAGACGGCTCAAGAAGGGCGCCAACTCGCCGGAGCAACCTCAATTACGCTACCGAAGAACCCCACATACTTAATTTAAATATGTGTGCTTGCTTATGTTTTTAAAATACTCTGTGTCCCTCAATAGTTTTGGGACCCCAGACTACAGGTACCCCCTGGACTACAATTACCCCTCCCCGGACTACAGGTACCCCCCACCCCGGACTACAGGTACCCCCCCCCGGACTACAGGTACCCCCCCCGGACTACAAGTACCCCCCCCCGGACTAGAGGGTACCCCCCCAGAAAAACAGGTACCCCCCTAGCCCCCGGAACTACAAGCCCCCCCGGAACTACAAGCACCCCTCCCCCGGACTACAGGTCCCCCCCCCCCCGGACTACAGGTACCACCCCCCAGGTACCCCCCGGACTACAAGTAACCCCCCCCGGACTACAGGTACCCCCCCTGGACTACAAGTACCCTCCCCCCGGACTACAGGTACCCCCCCCCCGGACTCCAGGTACCCCCAGAACTATTGAGGGACACAGAGTATGCGCAATTCTGCGTTCTGAGCCCTCGTCGCGAATGTTTCCCTATGTGTCATCCAAGCCCATATTGCTTGCCACGCTTTGCGAGCCCGCAACGGATAGGAAGACCACCCCCACCGCACCCCCTGTGGTGTCGAGGAAGTGCCACGCCTGCCACGCTTTGCGAGCCCGCAACGGATAAGGATACCACCCCCAGCGCACTCCCTGTGGTGTCGAGGAAGTGCCACGCCTGCCACGCTTTGCGAGCCCGCAACGGATAGGGAGACCACCCCCAGCGCCCCCCCCCTGTGGTGTCGAGGAAGTGCCACGCCTGCCACGCTTTGCGAGCCCGCAACGGATAAAGATACCACCCCCAGCGCACCCCCTGTGGTGTCGATGGAGTGCAACGCCTGCCACGCTTTGCGAGCCCGTCAAGGATAGGAGACCAACCCCAGCGCATCCCCTGTGGTGTCGGGGAAGTGCCACGCCTGCCAGGCTTTGCGAGCTCGCAGCGGAGTAGGAGACCATCCCCAGCGCACCCCCTGTGGTGTCGAGGAAGTGCCACGCCTGCCACGCTTTGCGAGCCCGTCACGGATAGGAGACCCCCCCAGCGCAATCCCTGTGGTGCCGAGGAAGTGCCACGCCTGCCACGCTGTGCGAGCCCGCAACGGATAGGGAGACCACCCCAACGCGCCCCTGTGGTGTCGAGGAAGTGCCACGCCTGCCACGCTTTGCGAGCCCGCAACGGATAGGGAGACCACCCCCAGCGCACCCCCTGTGGTGTCGATGGAGTGCAACGCCTGCCACGCTTTGCGAGCCCGTCAAGGATACGGAGACCAACCCCAGCGCATCCCCTGTGGTGTCGGGGAAGTGCCACGCCTGCCAGGCTTTGCGAGCTCGCAGCGGAGTAGGAGACCATCCCCAGCGCACCCCCTGTGGTGTCGAGGAAGTGCCACGCCTGCCACGCTTTGCGAGCCCGTCACGGATAGGGAGACCCCCCCCAGCGCAATCCGTGTGGTGCCGAGGAAGTGCCACGCCTGCCACGCTGTGCGAGCCCGCAACGGATAGGGAGACCACCCCCAACGCGCCCCCTGTGGTGTCGAGGAAGTGCCACGCCTGCCACGCTTTGCGAACCCGCAACGGATAGGGAGACCACCCCCAGCGCACCCCCTGTGGTGTCGAGGAAGTGCCACGCCTGCCACGCTTTGCGAGCCCGAAACGGATAGCGCCCCCACCCACAGCTCCCCCCTTGTGGTGTCGAGGACGTGCCACGCCTGCCACGCTTTGCGATCCCGAAACGGATAGCGTCCCACCCACAGCTCCCCCCCTTGTGGTGTCGATGAAGTTCCACGCCTGCCACGCCTTGCAAGCCCGAAACGGATAGCGTTCCCACCCACAGCTCCCCCCCTGTGGTGTCGAGGATGTGCCACGCCTGCCACGCTTTGCTAGCGTCGTTCCACCCCTTGTGGTGTCGAGGAAATGCCACGCCTTTGCGAGCCCGAGCGGATAGCGTCCCCACCCACAGCTCCCCCCTGTGGTGTCGAGGAAGTGCCACGCCTGCCACGCTTTGCGAGCCCGAAACGGATAGCGCCCCCACCCACAGCTCCCCCCCCCTGTGGTGTCGAGGAAGTGCCACGCCTGCCACGCTTTGCGAGCTCGAAACGGATAGCGTCCCCACCCACAGCTCCCCCCCTGTGGTGTCGAGGAAGTGCCACGCCTGCCACGCCTTGCGCGCCCGAAGCGGATAGCGTCCCCACCCACAGCCCCCCCCTTGTGGTGCCGAGGGGGTGCCACGCCTGCCACGCTTTGCGAGCCCGAAACGGATAGCGTCCCCACCCACAGCTCCCATGCCATGCGTGCCACGCCTGTGCCACGCCTGTGCTGTGCTGTGCTGTGTTGTGTGCTGTGCTGTGCTGTGCTGTGCTGCGGTGAGCTGTGCTGTGCTGTGCTGTGCTGTGCTGTGCTGAGCTGAGCTGCGCTGTGCTGTGCTGAGCTGAGCTGTGCTGTGATGTGTGCTATGCTGTGCTGTGTTGTGCTGTGCTGCGGTGAGCTGTGCTGTGCTGCGCTATGCTGTGCTGTGCTGAGCTGAGCTGAGCTGAGCTGTGCTAAGCTGTGCCGTGGTGAGCTGAGCTGAGCTGATCTGTGCTGAGCAGTGCTGTGGGGAGGAGGGGGTGTGTGAGGTGAGACGCGGGCGCGACGCGGCAGGGAAGAAAACCAGAACCCCACTAAGCATGTTGGGAATAATCGCTGCAGCACGAGACCAACCCCTGCGCTGGCCATATAGTCTCGCGAAACTGCCACGCCTGCCAAACTTTGCGACAGTGACGTGGATAGAGGCCGCGCTCAGGGACCACCCTCTGGTGTCGAGAAAGTGCCACGCCTGCTAGGCATTGCGACAGTGTCGTGGGTAGCGGCCGCGTTCAGGGACCACCCCCTGCGCACCCCCTACGGTGTCGTGAAATGGCCACCCCTGCTACGCTTTGCGACAGTGTCGTGGATAGCGGGCAAGCTCAGGGACCACCCCCTGCGCACCCCCTGCGGCGTCGTGATACTGCCACGCCTGCCAGGCTTTGCGACAGTGTCGTGGATAGCGGCCGCGCTCAGGGACCACCCCCTGCGCACCCCCTCTGGTGTCGAGAAAGTGCAACGCCTGCGATGCTTTGCGACAGTGTCGTGGATAGCGGCCGCGCTCAGGGACCACCCCCTGCGCACCCCCTCTGGTGTCTAGAAAGTGCAACGCCTGCTAGGCGTTGCGACAGTGTCGTGGATAGCGGCCGCGCTCAGGGACCACCCCCTGCGCACCCCCTACGGTGTCGTGAAACTGCAACGCCTGCTAAGCTTTGTAACAGTGTCGTGGGTAGCGGGCAAGCTCAGGGACCACCCCCTGCGCACCCCCTCTGGTGTCGAGAAAGTGCCGCGCCTGCTAGGTTTTGCGACAGTGTCGTGGATAGCGGGCGCGCTCAGGGACCACCCCCTGCGCACCCCCTACGGCGTCGTGAAACTGCCACGCCTGCTCGCGACAGTGTCGTGGATAGAAGCCCAGGGACCACCACCTGCTAGCACCCTTTACGGTGTCGAGAAAGTGCCACGCCTGCTAGGCGAGCTCAGGCTAGCGCCGCCCCCTGTGCGTGCTGCTGCCGAGCTGCCACGTGCTATGCGCTGCGACAGGTGTTTGCGCGACAGTGTCGTGGATAGCGGGCGAGCTCAGGGACCACCCCCTGCGCACCCCCTCTGGTGTCGAGAAAGTGCCACGCCTGCTGGGTTTTGCGACAGTGTCGTGGGTAGCGGGCAAGCTCAGGGACCACCCCCTGCGCACCCCCTCTGGTGTCGAGAACGTCCCACGCCTGCTAAGTTTTGCGACAGTGTCGTGGATAGCGGGCGAGCTCAGGGACCACCCCCTGCGCACCCCCTCACGGTGTCGTGAAACTGCCACCCCTGCTAGGATTTGCGACAGTGTCGTGGATAGCGGCCGCGCTCAGGGACCACCCCCTGCGCACCCCCTACGGTGTCGTGAAACTGCCACGCCTATTCGGCGTTGCGACAGTGTCGTGGGTAGCGGGCGAGCTCAGGGACCACCCCCTGCGCACCCCCTACGGTGTCGTGAAAGTGCCACGCCTGCTGGGTTTTGCGACAGTGTCGTGGATAGCGGGCGAGCTCAGGGACCACCCCCTGCGCACCCCCTCTGGTGTCGAGAAAGTGCCACGCCTGCTGGGTTTTGCGACGGTGTCGTGGATAGCGGGCAAGCTCAGGGACCACCCCCTGCGCACCCCCTCTGGTGTCGAGAAAGTGCCACGCCTGCTAGGCTTTGCGCCAGTGTCGTGGATAGCGGGCGAGCTCAGGGACCACCCCCTGCGCACCCCCTATGGTGTCGAGAAAGTGCCACGCCTGCTGGGCTTTGCGACAGTGTCGTGGATAGCGGGCGAGCTCAGGGAGCACCCCCATGCGCACCCCCTCCGGTGTCGAGGAAGTGCCACGCCTACCACGCTCTGCGAGCCCGAAACGGATAGCGTCCCCACCCACAGCTCGCCCCCTGTGGTGTCGAGGAAGTGCCACGCCTGCCACGCTTTGCGAGCCCGAAACTGATAGCGTCCCCACCCACAGCTCCCCCCCTGTGGTGTCGAGGAAGTGCCACGCCTGCCACGCTTTTCGAGCCCGAAACGGATAGAGTCCCCACCCACAGCTCCCCCCCTGCGGTGTCGAGGAAGTGCCACGCCTGCCACGCTTTGCGAGCCCGAAACGGATAGCGTCCCCACCCACAGCTCCCCCCTGTGGTGTCGAGGAAATGCCATGCGTGCCACGCCTGTGCCACGCCTGTGCTGTGCTGTGCTGTGCTGTGCTGTGCTGTGCTGCGGTGCGCTGTGCTGTGCTGTGCTGTGCTGTGCTGTGTGCTATGCTGCGCTGTGCTGTGCTGTGCTGCGGTGAGCTGTGCTGTGCTGCGCTGTGCTGAGCCGTGCTGAGCTGAGCTGAGCTGTGCTAAGCTGTGCCGTGCTGAGCTGAGCTGAGCTGAGCTGTGCTGAGCAGTGCTGTGATGAGGAGGGGAGGTGTGAGGTTAGACGCGGGTGCGACGCGGCAGGGAATTACGCCACCGAAGAACCACACATACTTAATTTAAATATGATGTGATTGCTTATGTCTTTAATATATGTGCAATCCTGCTTTCTGAACCCTCGTCGCGAATGTTTCCCTATGTGTCATCCAACGCAATATTGCTTGCCACGCTTTGCGAGCCCGCAACGGATAGGGAGACCACCCCCAGCGCACCCCCTGTCGTGTCGAGGAAGTGCCGAGCCTGCCACGCTTTGCGAGCCCGAAACGGATATCGTCCCCACCCACAGCTCCCCCCCTGCGGTGTCGAGGAAGTGCCACGCCTGCCACGCTTTGCGAGCCCGTCACGGATAAAGATACCACCCACAGCGCACCCCCTGTGGTGCCGAGGAAGTGCCACGCCTGCCACGCTTTGCGATCCCGAAACGGATAGCGTCCCCACCCACAGCTCCCCCCCCTGTGGTGTCGAGGAAGTGCCACGCCTGCCACGCTTTGCGAGCCCGAAACGGATAGCGTCCCACCCACAGCTCCCCCCCTGTGGTGTCGAGGAAGTGCCACGCCTGCCACGCTTTGCGAGCCCGAAACGGATAGCGTCCCCACCCACAGCTCCCCTCCTGTGGTGTCGAGGAAGTGCCACGCCTGCCACGCTTTGCGAGCCCGAAACGGATAACGTCCCCACCCACAGCGCCACGCCTGCCACGCTTTGCGAGCCCGAAACGGATAGCGTCCCCACCCACAGCTCCCCCCTGTGGTGTCGAGGAAATGTCACGCCTGCCACGCTTTGCGAGCCCGAAACGGATAGCGTCCCCACCCACAGCTCCCCCCTGTGGTGTCGAGGAAGTGCCACGCCTGCCACGCTTTGCGAGCCCGAAGCGGATAGCGTCCCCACCCACAGCTCCCCCCCTGTGGTGTCGAGGAAGTGCCACGCCTGCCACGCTTTGCGAGCCCGAAACGGATAGCGTCCCCACCCACAGCTCCCCCCCGGTGGTGTCGAGGAAGTGCCACGCCAGCCCGAAACGGATAGCGTCCCCACCCACAGATCCCTCCCTGTGGTGTCGAGGAAGTGCCACGCCTGCCACGCTTTGCGAGCCCGAAACGGATAGCGTCCCCACCCGCAGCTCCCCCGCTGTGGTGTCGAGGAATTGCCACGCCTGCCACGCTTTGCGAGCCCGAAACGGATAGCGTCCCCACCCACAGCTCCTCCCCTGTGGTGCCGAGGAAGTGCCACGCCTGCCATGCTTTGCGAGCCCGAAACGGATAGCGTCCCCACCCACAGCTCCCCCCCTGTGGTGTCGAGGAAGTGCCACGCCTGCCACGCTTTGCGAGCCCGACACGGATAGCGTCCCCACCCACAGCTCCCCCCCTGTGCTGTCGAGGAAGTGCCACGCCTGCCACGCTTTGCGAGCCCGAAACGGATATCGTCCCCACCCACAGCTCCCCCCTGTGGTGTCGAGGAAGTGCCACGCCTGCCACGCTTTGCGAGCCCGAAACGGATAGCGTCCCCACCCACAGCTCCCCCCCTGTGGTGTCGAGGAAATGCCATGTGTGCCACGCCTGTGCCACGCCTGTGCCACGCCTGTGCTGTGCTGTGCTGTGTTGTGTGCTGTGCTGTGCTGTGCTGTGCTGCGCTGAGCTGAGCTGAGCTGCGCTGTGCTGTGCTGAGCTGAGCTGAGCTGCGCTGTGCTGTGCTGAGCTGAGCTGTGCTGTGCTGTGCTGTGTGCTGTGCTGTGCTGTGTTGTGCTGTGCTGCGGTGAGCTGTGCTGTGCTGCGCTGTGTTGTGCTGTGCTGAGCTGAGCTGAGCTGTCCTAAGCTGTGCTGTGCTGTGCTGTGCTGTGCTGTGCTGTGCTGTGCTCTACGAAGAGTGAGGTGTGTGTGTGTGTGTGAGTGTCGCGGGTGCGGCGCGGCAGGGAAGAAAACCAGAACCCCACGAAACATGTGGGGAAGAAAACCAGAACCCCACTAAGCATGTGGGGAAAAACACTCAAGATGGACCTCAACACAACCCAAGAGGCTCCCGAGACACACCGGGAGGGCACCAAGAGGACCAACAAGAAGACGCCAACAATGAATCAGACTCGACTTTTCAATGTGCGCTGGCACATCTTAGAACTCTCGCCTTGTCAGCCTTCTGAATGCTCGAAAATATCATGAGAGACCCCCCCAACAAGCCCAAGAGGCTTCCCGTGCCGAAAGGTCTTTCAAGAATGCCCAGAAGGCCCCGAAGAGGGCCCCAAAGAAGGTCCAAGAGGGCTCCAAGACCAAGAAGGCTCCCAAACCAGTCCAAGCGGCACCCAAGCCGGCCCAAGAGGCCCCCGGGAGTGCCCTAAGACGGGCTGATCTAGAGGAGGCCCCAGGAGCCCTCCCCCTGGACACGACACCGACGACCCCAAACGTGCCCCCAAGTTCCCAATGACCACCCAAGAGGCCTCAAGAGAGCCCCACGAGGTCCCCAGGAGCTCTCAGAATAATTCCGAGAGGCCCCCCCCCCCAAAACAAAAAACCTCAACGAGACGTCCAGTATGCCCCTCAACACAGGTCATGTCGGTACCGAATCCCCAGTCGCTGTTGTAGTTCTATCTTCTGGGGGTCGGCGGAATGCAAGGAAGGCGGGGGAGACGGAAGAGGAGAAGAGGAACGAGTGAGGAGAGGGACGAGTGTGTGGAATCGCACTCAGCAGCGAGCATCGGGTCAGCCAGACAAACGCTGGGTGAGAGCGGGAGGAACGCAAGGAGGCCGCAGCCACGGACGGGGCGGGAGGCAGCAGAACAGAAGGACGGAAGGCGGGGAGGAGGAGAGGGAGGAGGGCCCACCATCACCAGATCGGACAGAAGAATCGGGAATACCTGCGACTCGGGTCAATGGGGGGCTCGGGTTGGCCGGACGGGCCCATCATCAGACGCGACCCAGTCTGAAATTTGACGCGGGCTCCCGCTGCAGACATCCCACGAGAACTGGCCGTCAAAATTCAAGACGGGCTCGTCAAAGAGCGTAGGCGAACCCGACTTCCGGCGCACTCGAGTCTGACCTTTCCCCGAAAGCAAGGGGCAACACAAGGGGGAGTTCGCGAACCTGCGCGCCTCCCGGCACGGGAGGCGCTCGCGCGTCGAGGAGAACGCCAGGCGGCGGGGCCGAGAAGCAGCTGCATGCAGCAGCTCTCGCACCCTCGGCCTCCACCTTCCGCACCTGCCGCGCGGCAGGGTGCGCGCAGCAGCGACCGCCGTCGTGGCCATCCTTCGCGGCGGCTGCCGCCGAGGCCGGTGCCGGCCGCGCCGCAGTGGCATCTGCAGCGCGGAAGGAGGCGGAGGTCAAGGGTCACCCGCGGTTTCCATAAAACCCCGCCTGGTGTCCGACCCCACAGGGGGGAGGGGGGAATTGGCAGGCGGAAGTGGAGAGGGCTCGCTACGGGATCGATATGTGAGTGCCATCCTCGCGCATGGGCCGAGAGGAGGACTAATGCCGAGGAGGAGGCGGGATATCGCCGGTCCCGGCCTCCAAGAGCGAGGGGCTTAGCTGTCAGCTGAGGGCCCAGCTCTGTTCGGGGCTACTGTGGCAGTCCTTGTGGCAGCCGCCGCGCGCCAGACTGGAGACTGGGACCGTGGCGCCAGGAAGAGCCCCTCGTCTGGGCGCGCAGACACCCCCTCAGGCTGATGCTTCGCGGCTCGCCGCTTATTGCAGGAGATGCGACAGTGGTGGCCTGCATGCTGGCGCTGGGCCACCCCGCGCCCCCCGAAGGCCGCTTTGGCGTCGCCGAATCGGGGTGGGGTGGGGATTAATGGGGGGGACGGGTGTACTTCTCGGGCCCTGGAGGCGCCCTTTGGGGCCTCAGAGGGCCTTCTCAGGGGCCCGAAAGGGCTCCTTGTTGAAGCTTGTAGCCCTCGCTGCCCCCCCGTTAACCGCCCCCCCATTGCGCGACGCCCACGGCCGCGCACCACAGGTCTCCTCTGGGCGGAGGGCCCCTCACTGCGCCCGGCCGACCGGGACGCTCAGCCCAGCAGCTCGTCCAGCCGCTCCTGCCGCCCACCCCGCCGCCAGACGCACGCGGTGCTCACCCAGGCAGGCTGCCCGTCCGCCCCGACCACGAGGGCCAGCTTCCCGCAGCTGGCCACCGCGGCGACCGCGCCCGCCTCTCGCGGCGCCCGCGCGCGGGGCGCCCCACCGCCGCCTCGGAGCGCCGCGGGGTCCACGAGCACCTCGTCTCCGACCCGGAGCCCGCTGTCCGCTGGGGGGCCCGCGGGCGTCAGGCTGCCCTGCCACGCCAGCAGCGCCACCGGGGCCTCGCCGCCCGCGTCCACTGCTCGCTGCAGCTCGCGCGCTGGCCGGGCGTTGCCAGACGTGGTCCTGGCCCAGGGCGCCCCCTGCTCCTCGTGCCATAAGTGGGGCCTCCTGGGCCTCGTGAGGGGTGCCCATGGGATGCTACAGCTGCACCTCCCTGGGAAAGCTGGGGCCACCTTAGGCCCTTAGGCCACCTCTGGCAACTCCCGAGACTGGGAGCGAAGTGCCGTGCTCGTTCGGCTGCCGCGGGTCCCACACCCTGAGGTTGCCCGTGTCGCCGCAGACGCCGTCAACGACCAGGCACCGCAGCGCGTCGCCCCGGCCGGCGGCCTCGGCTCGCCCACCCGGCGCCCGCGACGCGTGAGGGGTGCTCTTCGCACGGCGGCAGCCGTCAACTCGCTGCAGGAACTCGGCGTGGTCGTGCGCGGGCCGGAGCTCCTCCAGCGGGACGGCCTCCACGCCCGATGAGTCCCAGCGCACGATGCCCCAGCCGGGCTTCGGCACCACTGCTCCATCCTCGAGCGCGTGGTCCACCCTGAGAAGCACGCCGAGCCCCCGCTCCCCAGCGGTGCCCCGCCGCCTCACGCGGTCCTCTCGGCATCAAGGAAGCGGGTGCTGGGGGAAGCGGGCCCTGAACCCCAGGGACACCCCCCAGGACCAGGCTTCTCATCCCGATTCGATCTCTGACGATCCCAGGGACGTTGGGAAGCATCCCGAGGGCCCAGAAGCGGCTAAAACCGCAGGACCCGCCCCTTAGATGAGCAACGACGTGACGATGATCCCCACGATGTCATCGGTCGTGTTTTTGTTGTCCACTGCTGCTGCCACTAGCATGGGCCTGAGTGCCTAGAGCGGGGACTCCCCGTTTTTCCTCTGCTCCGTGGCGAGTCCTCCGCGCCCAACGCCCGCGGGCTCCCGGACGGGGCGGCCCAGCCAGGGCTGGCGCAGGTCGCACCGGCCGCCCACGGGGCGAAGATGGGCCGCCCCGGCCGGGCGTCGAAGGCCAGCGCCGCGGGCAGCCTCGTGCCGGCGAGGCTGGCCATCGGCGGCGCGAGCAGCTGCCACCCTCGCCGGAGGACGGGGCCGCCCGGCAGCGCCACGTCCTCCACGAGGACTCCTCACGAGCGGCGGACGCATCCATTCCCGCCCTCGCGGTCGCGGTCGGGACTCCAGGGCGCGATCCCGCGGAGACTTTATACTTTCGCAGCGGCACGGGTGCGTTCCGCCAAAGAACGCCCTGTATCCGCGGGGTCGCCGTCCTGGGGCCCGGCCCGCGAGGCCGCGGATACGGATCTGAGCGTGAGGCTCCCTCGTTCCCGGGCCCACGACATCATAACTTGTTACATAAGGTCGACCCCCGGAGGTCCGGATCCAGTCCCCTGGAGCAGCGTTTCATCCTGAGTAGCTTCTTGACAGCACTGGGGTCCTCCATCGAGGGCCTCCAGAGGCCAATTATATATACACGTAAGTAAGTGTGTGTATGTATAAATATGTATATATACACACATATATATATATGTATAGAACAAAATGGCCGTTGTGAAGTTGTTCACGACCCGACGGGGTCTTGGAAGAGGGGCAGTGGCCAGAACAGACGCCATTGCTGCCGTCGCCCATGTGTAACCTGCTCGCCCGTGGCGGCCTGTCCATGGGATCTCTAGGATAGAGGATCGAGAGCTCCCAGATGGGGTCGGAGCAGTTTGGGGTCGGAGGATCGCGCCGTATCGCCAATGCATCGGCGACGAATCAGCGATGCATCGGCGATGCGCTGGCGACGTCGGCGATGCATCGGCGCCGTCGGCGTCGAGAAAATCGGGCTCCACATCGAGCCGCATCGCCGATTCATCTGCGATGCCGAGTCCGACCCCACCATATACTCGGACCCACCTGGGAGGCCCAAAGAGGAAGCAAGGATACGGATATGTCGCAGCGTCGTTTGTACCCAACGCGCCCAAATTGATGACACCGATACCACGGCAAACCCACGGCAAGCCTTGCGCCCCGCGCCAAAGACGACGAAACCGGCACCGCGGCACACCCACGGCAAACCCAGCGCGCCCGAGGCGGCGTTTGCCCTGATGGCCGAGGCGCCCTCCCCAAGACGTAAGGCCGCGCGTCGAAACAAACGGCGCGGCGACATATGCCTTTCCCCCACGGACGCCGTCGCGGCTGAGCGATGCGGCCACGAGGTCCAGGAGGGCCCAGGACTCCACGCTGCAGTCGACCCTCGCGACCCGCTGGCGGCGGCAGGGCTCTCGCTGGCGGCGGGCGGAGGAGGGCCGCGAGCCGCCGTGCTCCAGGAACGCCACGGCTGCCGTGCCGCCGCAGCGCGCGACTTCCTCGATGGCCGCCACCTCCTCACAAGGAAGAAGCCGAAACTGCATAAGCACAACATCTCCGAGGTCTGCTCCGATTCTTGGGTCGGCGCTGGACCGCCCCTGGCGGCGGCGCCGCCCCTGGCGCTCTCCGCGTGCCAGAGAAGGGGTGCAGCCCAGATGTAAGAAATCCGCGCGGACATCCGAGCGTGTATTTGTCTTGCAGCCGCAGTTTGTTTTCATTGGGCCAGGGCAAGTTGAGACAACTCCAGTTCAAAATCGGCCCCCAGACCCCTCCTGGGGTCCAAAGTCACAACGATTTTCCGAGCTGCGTCCAGCCGTTGCGACGATGGCCCCCCCCCACGAAGTCCAACTGCCGCTGCTTCAAGTCACTCTCCTTTGATAGAGGCCTCCTAGATGGTCCGAATAGATGGGGTCGGAGGATCGCGCCGCATAGCCGATGCACTGGCGACGTCGGCGATGCGGCGGCGACGTCCGCGTGGAGAAGATTGGCCTCCACATCGAGCCGCATCGCCGATGCACCGGCCATGCGGCGTGAGCCGTCGACCCTCTCTGCTCAGACCCCATCCGGGAGACCTAGATTTATGTTGCTCCCATCGTACTTAAGGACCGCATCCCAGAAACAATTTCGAACACCCGGAAAGTTGGTGCCAAAAGAGTGTCGAAGCAGTGTCGGACGAGTCCCACTCCAAGGGCCCGGCACGTGCATACCCGCGAGTTCCGGAACCTTGTTGGTGCTCGACATTCTTCCTGGCGACCCAGGCTGAAGCAGGCTGGAACGTCATAAACCTGGAGCCCAACTCATCTCTTCGGCTCCTGGCCCTGGCTCCACCGGGCGGACGCCCTCCGGAGCACGGCGGCCGTCCTGGCGCAGCCCCCCGGGCCTTCGCCGGCGGCCCCGCCGCCGAGAGCGACCCCGCCCGCCTCGAGCTCCCTCCCCGGGCGACGCCACCCGGCCACCTCACCAGGGCCACGCTGGGCCATGGGCTCGACCCAGAGGGTCCCAGGAGGGGAGTTTGGGGGAGGGGGTTTTCCAGAAGGGGTCCCCCAAAGGGGCTTCGCACCCCCTCTTTGTGACGATAGGCTCCGAGGCCCCTGGGGGGTCTCTCTGGACCCCCCCCCCCCAAAACAAAAACCCTTTGGAACCCTCAGCTCGGCGTCCCTGGGCCCAGGATCGGTGAGGTGGTCGGCTGAGGTCCCCGGACCTCAGCACACCGGGGCCCAGCCCACCGCGCAGCAGCAGCTCCCGCCGCCCGAGCACGCCCCACCTGGAAGGAGTCAAGTCACGTCACTCCGCTCGCACGAGGGCGGGCCCATAAAAGGGCGCGAGAAAAACCTCAGAACCCATGAGGTCTTACCATCGCCCCCACGTGCACGTGCACGAACCACGTGACAAGCTCTGGCAACATCAGCGACAACCGCATCAGCAGAACAAGCAGGGCGGTTGGAATCCATAATCCTCCTGATTAGGTCAGACCCCTCATGCTACGCACATTTGGGGAACATCTACAGGAACATAAACGTGCGGCGGTCCGCGCGGGTATATTGGATCGGCGCTGGACCCCCCTCCGCCGGCGGGGGGGGTGGCAGCGCCGATCCGAGAAACCAGCGCGGACCCTGAAGGGCTAATGCGTATGCGCGTTTTCTGCTCGCACTGTACACATGCACGCCGATTCCAGCACAAAGTCGAGTGCCACGTCCTGCCATGAGATCCCCTCGCGCTTGGCAGAATCTATATATATATACACACACCTATATATATACACATACAAACATACATGTATATATGAGTATATATACACACCACAACAATGTTGAGTGCACTACCTTGAACTGGCACTTGCCAGGGGATCCTGCGTCTGGTTATTACGAGGACGACGACGAAGAGACCGACCACCAGCGCGCCCCCCCGCCCGGCCCAGCGGCGGGGCGACCCTCGGTCACCAACGCGCCCCAGGAGGCGGAACTGCCGTGCGGCGCCCGCCGCGCGAGGCGGACGCGCTCCGCCACGCCGACGGCCCGGCCATGCAGGCCAGCGGGCCCCTCCGAGCCGTTAGATCCAGCGTCGCGGACAACTCCCACGTATTGAAACGTCGCATGTCTGGGCAGCGAGCCCTGAGATCCGACGTCGCGGAAAACTCCCAGACATGCTCGCGCCGGGCCCCAGGACCGTCAGACAACGACTCAGGGAAACGGTCGAGACTTCGGGGGGCCGCGTATCAAAACGTCGCATGTCTGGGCAGCGAGCCCTGAGATCCGACGTCGCGGAAAACTCCCAGACATGCTCGCGTCGGGAAAAGGTCAGGACGGGACATTGTTCGCCGTTGTCGGCCTCTGGGGGCCCACACCAGGCCCCAGGACCGTCAACATAAATTTTCAGGATGAACAGCCAATCCTGCAGAAACGGTCGAGATTTCGGGAGGTCGCGTATTGTAAAAAGCAATGCGTGGCATGTCTGGGCAGCGAGCCCTGAGATCCGACGTCGCGGACACTTCCCAGACGTGCTCGCGTCGTGAAAAATCATAATGGGGAAATGTTGCTGCCGTTTTCGGACTCTGGGGGCCCTGACCAGGCCCCAAGACCGTCAACAAAAACGACTCAAGATGAGAAACCGGTCCTAACGATCGAGACTTCGGGGGACTGCGTATTCAAACAAACAAAACGTCGCATGTCTGGACAGCGAGCCCTGATGGCAGACGTCGCGGAAAACTCCCGAACATGATCGCGTCGCGACAAAATCATAACGGAATTTGGTTCGCCGTTTTCGTCCTCTGGGGGCCCTCACCCAGCCCTGGGACCTTCAAAACACGACTGGAGGTGAAAAACCAATCCTACAGAAACGGTCGAGATTTCGGGAGGTCGCGTATTGCAAAAAGCAATGCGTGGCATGTCTGGGCAGCGAGCCCTGAGATCCAACGTCGCGGACACTTCCCAGACGTGCTCGCGTCGTGAAAAATCATAATGGGGAAATGTTGCTGCCGTTTTCGGACTCTGGGGGCCATGACCAGACCCCAAGACCGTCAACAAAAACGACTCAAGATGAGAAACCGGTCCTAACGATCGAGACTTCGGGGGACTGCGTACTCAAAAAAACAAAACGTCGCATGTCTGGACAGCGAGCCCTGAGGGCAGACGTCGCGGAAAACTCCCGAACATGATCGCGTCGCGACAAAATCATAACGGAATTGTGTTCGCCGTTTTCGTCCTCTGGGGGCCCTCACCAGGCCCTGGGACCTTCAAAACACGACTGGAGGTGAAAAGCCAATCCTGCAGGAACGGTCGAGATTTCGGGAGGTCGCGTATTGCAAAAAGCAATGCGTGGCATGTCTGGGCAGCGAGCCCTGAGATCCGACGTCGCGGACACTTCCCAGACGTGCTTGCGTCGTGAAAAATCAGAATGGGGAAATGTTGCTGCCGTTTTCGGACTCTGGGGGCCATGACCAGACCCCAAGACCGTCAACAAAAACGACTCAAGATGAGAAACCGGTCCTAACGATCGAGACTTCGGGGGACTGCGTATTCAAAAAAACAAAACGTCGCATGTCTGGACAGCGAGCCCTGAGGGCAAACGTCGTGGAAAACTCCCGAACATGATCGCGTCGCGACAAAATCATGACGGAATTTGGTTCGCCGTTTTCGTCCTCTGGGGGCCCTCACCCAGCCCTGGGACCTTCAAAACACGACTGGAGGTGAAAAGCCAATCCTGCAGGAACGGTCGAGGTTTCGGGAGGTCGCGTATTGCAATAATTCAAGCGTGGCATGTCTGGGCAGCGAGCCCTGAGATCCGACGTCGCGGCTACTTCCCAGACGTGCTCGCGTCGGGAAAAAGCAGGGCGGGATATGTTTGTGTTTTTCTCGAACTCTAGGGGCCCTCACCAAGCTCCAGAATCTTCAACAAACGACCCAGGATGAAAAACTGGTCCTCAAGAAGCAGTCGAGAATCGGGGGACTGCATATTGAACAGTCAGGACGTCACATGTCTGGGCAGCGAGCCCTAAAATTCGACGTCACGGAAGACTGCTACCCAGTGCAGGCCCCAAGCAAGAAGTTATTGCACTGTGGATGCGTGAGCATCCACAGTGCAGCCTGCTGCACAGCTCCACACAGCCTGCTCCACTGGAGCAGGCTGTGTGGTATGAGGTACGTGGCGCAGTCCACCTGGCAGAACTTGAGGTTGCCACCTCCAATGCTCCCGCAATCGCCCCACCCTCCCACAGGCAACTTGCTTATCAAACCTATGCGGCGGCGATTGCGCATCTCTCTGCGGCCGCACTGGCGCGCGCAAGCTCGCGCGCAGGGCGGCCAGCTGGTTTCGCGCAGCCGATGCGGCCGCGATGGCGCTTACCGATAGGCACTCCCAAGCGCGCGTCAAAGGCCGCGCTGGCGCGCAGACACTTCAATGCGCGTCGGTTGCTCGGGCGGGCACGGCATCACGATGACGTCGACAACGGCGGCATCTATGATGATAGTAGCGAAGGTGGTGGCGATGATGACGATGACGATGACAAGGCCGATGACGATGATGATGTGCGATGGCAAGGCCGATGACGATGATGATGTCCACGTGTCGCTGATGAGACTTTGGAAGGGTTTCGCCGCGCGGCCAACGCGCGCACCACCCGCATGATATTAGTTCAAACGGATCGAGCCCCCCAGCAAGCGCGCAAGGGCGTTCGAATGTGTTTCACCTGCGTTGATGCAAATACTGCAGAAGCCTATGACTTGGTTCATAAGTTATCGCAAGAGTTCGCGCGCAAATTGAACAAGAGGTTGGAAAACCAATTGAATCTTCCATCGGTTTTCGAGAACCCCGATCTTGAAGTGCGTAGGACACCTGCGGTTTGGAAAGGTTTCGGCATGCGCGCGTGACGAACCGCGCTTACAAATGCGGGCGCAAAATGTGATTTGACATGTGTGAGGGGGGGCGATAACGGGAATCCTGGGATGGCATGAGCTCATGTGCGAAACACATGAGCGGTGTCACAAGGGGGACGATAAACCCGCTCCAGGGGGTGGAGGGGAGCTTTTATGATGAAAAAAAGGATAATCTAGTTACGTGGTGCAAAATAGAGGAGAGTTCCCTTCTGAGCCCGTTTGGCGTCTGAGCGCGTTCGGTCGCCGAACGGGTTCAAGATCGAGGCCAGTCGGCGGCCGAAAGACGTCGAACAGGCTCAGAAGGGAACCCTGGGGGGGCGACGTTGGCGCCTGGTGGCTCTCCACCCATCCTTCGTCGTCGGTTTTTGGGGGCGAGCCGACTGTCGACGGTCCAAGGGCCAAGAAACGACTTCCCCAGGCAGAAAATGTAGCAGCGCCGGCACCAAACACTGGTCCCAAGCCATCTCCCGGGGTCCAAACGCATCAGAGCTCCCGTGGCTGACCCAGGGCCCCACGAAGGCCGACTGCCGTGGCCCAGGTGCGAACAATTGGGACGTCCGAGCCCCACCCCCGCCAACCATCGATTCTCCGGAATCGATGGGGGCCGGGGGTAGGCCGGCTCGAATTTCGCCACGTGCCCGAACTCCGACGCCGCCCATCGAGCTGCCAGAATCGTTCATCGGCGAGGGCGTGACTCGGATTTCGCAGCCCGGTCTGCGAGGGTCGTTGGTCGGCGACGCTCAGATCCGAGGGTCCTCCGAGCCCTCGCAGCCCAGCGCGACGGCCAAGCACGCGGCGAGCTCCGCGCCGGGCTCCTCGCGGCCAGCGAGCAGCGCGCCCAGCGCGAGGTCGCCCCTCGCGGCCAGGGCGCGGTCCTCTGCGCGCCTGCCGGCCAGCAGCGCGCGCAGGGCGGCAGCGTCGCCCCGCTCGAGCACGGCCGCGCGCGCGCACGGCGGGGCGGCAGCGGGCCCGCCAGCTGGCCGCATGGCCCTGACCGGCGGCGCTGCGCCCCCGGGCATCCGACGACGCGTGTTCTTTTCCTCGATGCTTCGGCCTCCTGGAGCCCGTTCCGCCGTTGGGCCCCGGGGCCATCAGGAGCTGGCCCGGGGCGCACCAGCACCCTGAGCGAAGGGGTCGGAAGCTCTGTGGGGCCGCGGACTGCACAGACCGGGCGTTGCTTACCTGGGGGGGCGACGGATGGAGGGGGGGAGAGAAACGAACACCTTTCGTGCCCCTTGTGGGCCCCGGGGGGCTCCTTTGGGGCTCCTTTGTTTGTGGAAGCAGAAGGTCCACATTCCTCCACCCCACAATTTATACCCCCCCCAATACGCCGCGCCCGAACAGGTCATGTCGGAGGGTGTCTGGGCCCGTGAGGGCACCCGTGAGCGCCGCGTTGAGGGCGATGGCGTCCTGCGCGGCAGCTAGGCGGTCGGCGGATGCGAGGGCGCTGCCCACGGCGCCCGGGCCGCCTCTGCCGGCGACGCGTGCAGAGGCGGCTGCAGCCATGGCGCCGCCGTGGGTGCCTGCGAGCTGGAGCGGCTTGAGTGTTGCTTGTTGTTTTTGTCTTCTGGAGAGCGACTTAAGCTAATACAACTATGGCGCCCACTAGAGGCGTACGCGCCCAACCACGTACATGAACACGGCCCCAGTCCGCGAGACCAGCCGCACGGTACGAACATTCGTGCCATGTGTACTCTCGAAACCACAATGGGTTCATGTGGGTGTACGTGCTTGTTTCACTTCAGCGATCCCAGCGATCTCACAATCACTTGAGCCGATTGGCTTGATTTGTTTTTGTTTCCTGGAGTGGCGTGAGCTAACACAATGAGCATCGTTGAGCATTGTTTGACCGATCCCTATCCGATCCCCACCGGCGTGTTCTGGGCCACACTGGCCGATTCAGCCCCCTGGATGGTGGATGGGGATATGGGCGGTCCCACTCGGGTTTCGAGGAGCATGTCCCCAACTGAGGTGGCAGGATGGTGGGGGGTGGGACGGGAATCGGTTAAACGATACTGACACAAAGAGACGGTCGATTGAGTTCCAGGGGGTTCCAGGATGAATCCGCTAGGCTTTGGCTGGGCAAGCCAGCGCTCATGGACGACTTGCGTGGATGCACGTTATCTTTTTAAGTGGCCTGCCAGGGTGTGCTGCATCGACGCAGTGGTCCGCATTGGCCCCTCCTGTGTGGCACCAGGCCCGTGCCAGACCTGATCCTTATTTCGCGTCCTGCCGCTCCACCCCACGGCCTCCTGCCAAGGGGCACGCCTGAACAGTCAGCGACGAAATCCTTACTTCAGACTCTTCCTGCACCTGCTCCTCAGACCTTTTTGGGTACATGCATGCCCCTAGAGGTAGCCCCTATCGGTCAAAATCCTGAGCCGAGGACGAGGCGGGGTAGGAGGAAGAGCGCGGGGGGGGAGGGAAGGAGAAGCAATGACGAGGGAAGCGATCGAGGAAGGAGTAATAACATGAACAGACATATTCGATGATGAGGAGAGATCATGAGGATTGGAGGCCGCTGGGGGGTCTGAGCTGGTTTGGACCACGGATAATCAATCAGGAAGGTGGATGATGCCAAATCCGCTCGAAATCGGTCCCCAGACCCCTCACGTGACCCATCTGGTGTAATTTGCCACCCCCGATCCGTTTTTGACAGTCCCAGGGCTGGAAACGGGCCCCCGGAGACCGAAGGAGGCAAAATACCTTGGGGAACTCAGAACCTCAAACCTATCCGCCCTTCCTGCCGGCCGGAACCAGAGAGCTGGGCCACCTCAATCCCTCATTGGGGGGGACTGGCATTGGGGGGGAAGCATCGCCCTGGACTCGGCGTTATATCGCCGATAGATCGGCGATAGGCCTCCGATACTGAATACGCGAGTTCCTGGGCGGGGTGCGGTCCGTCGAGCCCCTATCGGCGATGAATGGGCGATTGGGGGTCGATGCATCCCCCACCCCATGCCTTGCCCCCCAGCCCCGTATTACTCTGCGGATCCGTATTCCGAATGCGAGCCCTCTTAGGCAGCGCTTGGCTGCAACAGGCCGCATTCGTTTGTTTGGCCCAGAGGTCAGGCAGCCCCTGAAGATATCCACACATGCCTGTCCCCCCCCCTCCCAATGGTTGACCCCGCGGGGAGGAGGGGGGGGGCCCTTTGAGAGGCCACGGCCAGGGCGCGACTTGGGATAGGCTTCGGGAGCGGCGCCCCGGGAGGAGGACCCGCCAAACCAGGGCGGCGTCAGGGAGTGAGGCGCGCGCAGGGGCGAGAGCGCAGGCCGCCACTGTCCTTGTCCTCCGCGCCCTCCTCCTCATCCTCCACAAATGTCTCCTCCTCCTCCGCGTTATGCTCCTCATCTCCTCCTCATCTCCTCCTCATCCTCCTCCTGCCCCCTTTCCTCCTGGCCAATGCTCCTTTCTCGCCTCCTCTTCCTCCTTCCCCCCTCTCCCGCGCCCCCGCGTATTCTTCATGCAGGTATTATTCGTCCTCCTCTTCCTCCCCCTCATCCTCGTTCACGCCCCCTTCTCGCACGTCCCCGCTCCAACGGTTGGCGGCGAGCAGGTGGCGGCAGGTTAAAGAGTAGGGGAATACATCTGGGAGAGCCCCCCCCCCTCCCTCCGACAGGGCCCAGCCTGGGGGGGGTGGCACGGTTTCAAAGCCGCCCCCCTGCTTTCTGCGCTGGGGCCCCAGAAGATGCAGGTACCCGCATCCAGACGACAGGTGACCGCACCTAGGCAGCAAGCCCCCCTCCCCGCTGGATCATAAGAACGCCCCGGCCCCTCCCCGCTGGACTACGTTCTCCACCCCACTGGGCCAGTCGCGGCGATGTGGGGCACAACGCGATCAAACTAGAACAGGACGCAGACTGGCCAATTGCGCACCCGCGCAGCAGGATAGGAATGAGGGTGGCCGCGGAGGGAGGCAACGGGAAAGAGACACGCGCATAACTCCTCTGGCTGCTGATGCTGCATTTCGAGCTCGGGCACACTTGGAGATTGAGTGGCCGAACGCCTCTCGCTACCCTGTGGATGTACATGCTCTGTGCTCCCTGGGCTGTTTGTTGATCATGCCTGTTCATGCCTGGTGTCAAAATGGCCTTTTGCACGCGCAGCATACCGCCGACCAAATTGCCTTGGCCAACGTAGTTCATCATCAAGGCTTCCTAAAGGCGATATGTGTCCGTGAACGTCGGTTCCTTTCCATACGCGCTCAGGTGTCACGATGCGTTCGCCAGCGCTTTGAGCAGCTCTGCAGCTTTATTTTCCCTGCACGCCTCAAGAGAAGAACGACGGCCCCGCAGGGTCCACTTGGGCGCGACGTCGACCGTCCTAGATCGCTGAGCACGACATATACATACATGCGTACACGCATGCATACATTATATCACATTAAAACACATTATATTACATTACATTACATTGCATTACATTTCAATACATTACATTACGCTACACTAGATTCAAATCCACTGCGCTACATTACAATGCATTTTATCAAACTACATTACACACATCCAAACATCCACGCACATATACTGCTACATTGACACACATACATACATACATACATGCATGCATGCATGCATGCATGCATGCATGTATACATACCTACACACATACATACACACACACGTTGATGCATGTATGCATCCATACATGCCTGCATGTATACATACATCAACATGTATTTACACATTCGTATTCCATACACACTTGCATGCGCGCACGTATGTGTATACCCATAAATACTTAAAAGCTTGATGCGCGAGTGTATTGGCATTGGAATGATGGCATGCGTGCGGGAAGCCAAGAAGGCAACACATGACATGTAATGATACTTCCTTGTTGCCTTATCCGTCATCGTCGCTACAATAATGTGATGTATGATCCTTCCCTCATGTTCCCTCTTCCTCTTCCTCATGCTCGCTCTACCCCGCGAATTCTTCACCATCCTCCTCAGCTCTTGTTGCGGAGTCACACTCCTTGGAGAGCTTCTTCGGGGCCTCGCGAAAATTTTGAAGCCTTCTGGAGGCCCCCTGGGCGGCTGCTGGGGGCATGTTGGGACTTCCTCGGGCCACCCTGCTTCCAACCGCGGTCTCCCTGAACGACCAGGTCACGATTTGCAAAGCTTCGGGGGGCGTCTTGGGGCCATCGGGCCGTCATGGGGCTCGTTTCTGGCAATCTTTGGGTCTTGTTTCAGCCGTCTTGGGGCTCTCTTGGGCTGCCTGGAAGCCCTTTCGGATATTATGTGGCGATGTTCGGGCCTCCTTGGCGGTACCCGACACTCAGAAGACAGAAGAACAGAGCGTTCCCAAAATCATGCAGAAGCCAATGGGATGCTTTCTGCGTTTAGAAAACCTTTTAGGGGTCTTCTTTGGGTCGTCTTCGGGCGTCTGGTGGGTGTTTGGGGCCTCTTGGGGCCTTCGGGGGGGCGTTCGGCCGCCCTTCTGACGGATCTGGGCCCGCAGTCTAGGCCCAGCGGAGGCTCCCAGGCGTTCCAGAAAACCTGGGGGACCTCCTGCAGGGGCGTCCAGGGGGCCCCTGGGGCCACAGGTCCAGGATGCTCCCTATGTTTCAGGTGGGGGGGGGCGTGATCCCCCCTCCCCCAACCTGCTAGAACATAGGAGGAGAGAGAGCCCCGCAGAAGCAACGTGTGCCGCAAAAGGTCGGCGGCGCGGCGTAACCCAACGAATCAGACGCCACGACCAAACCCACCAACACCACCTTCCTGCGACGCCCCTCGCGCCGGACCGATCCGTGAGGGCACGAAGGGCTCGAAACCCAGCCGAGACCTCCCGCTGATATAGTTCCACGACCCCATCTGAGAGCCCCCCCTCTATCCCAAGGCCCCTCCGACCGAGATCACGGACGTCCACGGTGATGACAAATTCGAACCCCGCCAGAATCGACCCCGAGACCGAAACCCGTCGAACGCAACAGGCCGAAAGCAGCCTAGAAGGGCGCAGTGACGCAGCACTTGAACCATGGACCGATCTGACCGACCGCCTCAGGCCCCCACCTCCGATGTTGAGTCGCAGCGTGCCAAAATGACTTGACTTCGCGACATGCAGCAGCAGCAGCAGCAGAAGCCACGCAGAGCGAGGACGCAAAGGAGGAAAGAAACAAGGCGGTGAAAACTACTAAAGAGGTTGAGGTTGGAGCCATCCATGTGTCGGGCTCCGGAAACCCTGACCCCCAAACCGAATACCGATTGGGGGCGAACTCTTGTCTCCATTTGCTTTCGTCGCAAAAGATAAGCTGACTTCTCGACCCCTCGAAGGCAAGGCCCGTTCTGGGATGCCCCATGAGAGATATGAGATATGCCCACGTCTGGCAACTTCCCCCGCCCGCCGCCTAGGCTTCTTAGAAACCAAGAGGGCTCCAACCCCCCCCCCAGAAGGATCCCGGCGTCGTAAAATATTGGGGCGACAATCTCTTCGACAGCCGCAGCCTCCTGCAACCGCTTCGCGGCCTCAGAAACGTCAACAAGGCGACTCAGGATGAGAAGCTGGTCCACGGGAAGAGGTCCACGCCTCGACTCCAATCGCGCCGTCGGAGATGGAACTCGCCCCCCTCCCGTCCGTCGCCTTCTTCGCCCGCCCCTCGCGCGAGAGCCCCCCAGAGAGGACGTCGCGGCACTGGCTCGCGGGGGCACGCGCCGTGGCATCATGGGCATCTCGCTCTCGATGTCCTGCCCTTCCAGCAGCGAGTCCCTGGGCTGCAGCACCTGCAGCAGAGGGTGGGGCGAGTCGGGTCGAACGACAATTGGAGGTCCCAAAACAATGCGGTGACAGATAGCGCGGTGACCTCAGCATCCCCCACCGAATTCACCGCACGGTCACTCTCCGGACACATCCAGGAATCTGGGGGCCCCATGCGCCTGAGACATCTTCGGAAACAGCACGATCCAAATCCCCAAAGGGCCCATTGACATCGAATCACCGTTGGCTCACCGAGCGATGTGGTCACCGCACCTTTTGGGGAGTCCTCAAAAACGGCGTGGGTGAGCGAATCCCCTCACGTAGCTAGTTTTCCCGGCGCCTCCTGGCGCCTCAGGTGCCATTAATTCCACCGACCCTGTCGGCGTGTGGAAGAGGCTGTTCTGTTTGACTCGTCCTCGTCGTCGTCGTGGATGTTGTTGTCGTCGTCGTCGCTGTCGCCGTCGCCGGTCCCCTCCCTTTCCCTGAGCCTGGCGCCGCTGCCTCCACTTTCACCGGGCCCTCCTCCTCGAGCGCGCCAGCCACAGCGAAATTGAGCAGCGCTGTAGTTGAGTCGAGGGGAAGCCCCTTCCCTTTGATCCCTTCCCCGCCGGGGGGGGGGGTCCTGGGGAGGGTCCCGGGGGGGGTCCCGGGGCAAATCCTGCGGGGGGTCCCGGGTCAGATACGACTCCCCTCCGGGCGGTTCGGGAGCCCAGACAATCTCCAAGACGTCGCAAAAGTGTCCCGAGAGGCCCCCAAGAATGACTCGAATCGCCGAAGTATCGGTCCAAGTCGCGATAGCCTCCAGACAGCTTCAGAAGGTCCCACTCCAATGGCACTCCCAAGAGGGCCCCAAGGAACACAAATAATCCATCGATTTCCCTGAAGCTTTTGAAAGATTTCGGCATTCTCGCCTTGTCCGCTTGTTGACGCTCCAAGACAGGCCAAGAAGCCCCCAAAACCACCCCAATATCGCCCAATAGGCCTCCAAGAGAGCCCCAAAACGATCCAAGAGGGCCCCAAGACCGACCAAGATGCCTCCAAGACAACCGAAGAGGCCCCCAAGACGGCTCCAAGGAGGAACCCAGACGGAGGACCCGAACGGACATTTCGAACCCTCGGCCTGAGATGCTCTCAGGAGGCCCCCAAAAGTCCCTAAGAAGCCTCGCGAGAAGCCCCCAAAAACATCCAAAAGACCCCCAGAGACCCCAAGAGGCCCCCACGAGGCTCCCAAGCGGCCCCCCAGAGCTTCCCAAGAGGCCCCCAAACTACCCCGAAGAGGCCCCCGAGAGCGCTCGTCGTCGTCGTTGCCAATCAGGGTCGGCGGTACTGGCCGCACGGCCTTCGCAATCGAGAAGAATGTCTGTCGGCGGGGCTGAAACCACCTGCACGCAGTATGTATGTCGCGGTTTCCTCCGTTCCCGTTCCCCCCATGTTTTTCGTCCGACCCAAGCGAAGAGGAGGGCGGCCCACACACATCCACCCGCTGCAACAAAAATCGGTGCGAGCGTTCTTTTTCCACTGTTGGAATCTGAACACCGACTTCGGGCATCGGGGCAATCACAGAAAACTGATCGGACAAAACGGGAAACGAATAATTTTCCCACAAGCCGCGCGGGTGGGAAAAAAACGAACGAACGATGGTGACGACAATGTTGAGGATGACGAGGATGAAATCGCGGAGGGCGAGGAGGACACGGAGGGGGAGAAGGAGGACTACAACGAGGAAGAAAAACACAGGGACTAAGAGGAAAATAGCGACAAAGGGCAAACACGAAAAGGAAGATTCCGGGAGAAGCACGGACCCCATGGAGAACAGAGAAGCGAAACCGCGCGAGAGGACTGCCTCACAACAGAGTGCTACCTCATCGCAAAACAACCGCCCTCCACCACCACGCAAGGACACCTCCCTCCCCACTTGCAAGAAAGGCCGCTCGTCTTCGGCGAGGAGCTTACGCAACGCAGTCGAGCGCCTTGTCGCCCCGTGACTCGCTACTCTTCGGTGACGGTCGGTTTACCTCCTCATTGTGAGGTCCTTCCCGACGATCAAGCATTGCCGAAGCCTATGTATGACACATGCGAGTGGGTTCGTACCAGCAGGGCGAGTAGGCACGCAGGACCCATGGCACTTATAGGCCACGCAGCCCCGCCACCAATGCACGACCCCCGCGCCTCGGAGCTCAAGGTGGCCCCAGCGTCACGGGCGCAGCTGAGCGCCACGGCCTCTGGCAAGGTGCCGCGGGGCGGACACCAACAAGACGAACCGGCATGCTGACATCAAGCCGTGAGGCGCAAACGGCATTGTCGATGTCCCCGCGGCGTAGGGCCGAACACCAGGATACGGTGCCCACCAGAGCAGTAACTCCCCCCCCGCCGCAGAGGGAGGAATGAGGGCGAGGAGGAGGAAGAAGAGGATGAGGAGGAGGCGGAGGAGGAAGGGGGGAGGAGGAGGAGGAAGAGGAGGGGGAGGAGGAGGAGGAGGAGTGCACTGGCCACGAGGGGAGGCAAGCGGACACGAAGCGAGCAAGGGAAAGAAAAGAAGCGGACACGAGGCAACAGGAGTGAAAGAAGAGTCCGAAGCCCCAAATCTCAAGCTGATTGACGGCACCGAGCAAGACACCGCTAGTGCACGAGCTCCTGGAGGGACGGTTGCCTCCTGAGCACCTGGCACAAACGAGCCTTCAAAGCCTGGCGGAGTCTGGGCCCTCCTCGGAGCCTGGGCGTGGACTTGTGAGCATGGTAACTGGTGCAGGCAACATCAATGAAAATCCGCCGATCTGGCGTGTGAATTTCTGGGAGCGTGGGCTTGAGCTCGCTCAAGCTTCGCTCTGCGGGGGGGGGGGGGACCTCATTTCCGACCTAACTCAGTGATTCGAAGGGGGGGGGGGCCTCATTTCCGACCTACTTCAGTGCTTCGCACCCCCCCCCCTCCAGAGCGGACCCCCCCCCCTGCAGAGCGCCCCCCCCCTCCCCTCCTGTAGCCCAGCCCCCCCTGCAGAGCGGACCCCCCCCCCTGCAGCACCCCCCCCCCCTCTGCAGAGCAGACCCTCCCCCCCCTCCCCTGCGCCCCCTCCCCTGCAGAGCAGACCCCCCCCCCCCCCTGCAGAGCGGACCCCCCCCCCCCCCCCCCCCTGCCCCCCCCCCCCCCTGCAGAGCGACCCCCCCCTCACCCTCTGCACCCCCCCCTGCAAAGCAGACCCCCCCTCCTGCAGCCCCCCCCCCCTGCCCCTGCAGAGCGGACCCCCCCTCTCCCCTGCAGCCCCTCCCTCTGCCGAGCGGACCCCCCCTGCAGAGCAGACCCCCCCCCCTGCAACCCAGCTCCCCCCCCGTCGTCGTCGTCGTCGTCGTCGTCGTCGTCGTCGTCGTCGTCGTCGTCGTCGTCGTCGTCGTCGTCGTCGTCGTCGTCGTCGTCGTCGTCGTCGTCGTCGTCGTCGTCGTCGTCGTCGTCGTCGTCGTCGTCGTCGTCGTCGTCGTCGTCGTCGTCGTCGTCGTCGTCGCTCGCGTCATCGTCGTCGTCGTCGTCGTCGTCGCTCGCGTTGCCGTCGTCGTCATCGCCGTCGTCGTCGTCGTCGTGGTCGTTGTTGTCGTCGCTCTCGTCGTCGTCGTCGTCGACGTATTCGTTTTCGTCGTCGTTTTCGTCTTCCTCGTCGCCGTTCATTTCCACAGGCGCCCCGGGCGCCCCGGATCGGCGGCACTGGCCAGAGGCCACTACAATAGCAAAAGACAGCAGCTGATCGTCGGGGAGGTGAAGGAGCGGGAAAGCAGCGGCAAGAGCAGGGCCCCCGCAAGATCCCACAGCGGGAGAGGGCGAGGAAGGAGGGGGGGAACGGCATCATGCAGAATTCGACACTCTAGCACGTGAGCTAGGGAATCCTGGCACTCGAAATTGGCACAAAACATACATGACTTAGTTTGGCCTTTGAAGCGTCGGGGGGTCGTCCAGGCATTGCAAATCGTGCGAAGAACCGAAGCGAAGACACACGGTGGCGTCTTCTTGGCGATCCTACGAAGTGCAAGCATCAACTGGACTTTTTCCTCGGGCGAGATGTGACACCAATGAGCGGCGCGAGCAATGGCGGTGGGAGCAGGACTGTCGGCGGCGCGAGACAGCAGGAGCGTTTCTGTTTTTCTCTGCAGCGCGGGCGTGCCAAACACAGGGATATCGGGAATGCTAGACAGAGCTTTGAAATTCATCCACAGACTTCGGAAGCTAGAGTTTAAATAAAGCGAGCGACTCTCCCACGCAACAACATTCAATATATTCACTGTACTGGCCAAACATATCAGTCATGTCATGAAAAACTTTGGAATTCATAGCTAGGCGGCACATAGAGACACGAGAAGTAGTGTGCAAGTTGCGAGCTTGAACGGGGATGCCTGAACCCTTAAGACTATGTAGGAGGGTACTACTATATGCATTACGGGGGCCTTCAGTCAGGAGCTGGAGTCCACGATTCTCAATATTCAGAACGTGATGATCTGGAAAATGGACTGGGCGACGAACGTAAGAGTCGAAAAGTCGAACACGTTGTATCTGGCGAGGTTTTTCGCAAGATCGAGGTGGAGGGCCTTCGCGGCGGCAGCCCTATCAATGAATTTGCAACCTGGCGTGCGCCAGGACTGGTGCCACCCGCCTAAGCCGAGCATGAGACCGAGGTATTTTCCTGTGTGCGTCAGCTGAAACTTCCTCCCTCGAGTGCCAACAGCACGCAGGCGACGGAGGACATCTGCGTGCTCGGGCAGGCGAGGCATTGCAATCTGGATGCCCTCCAGCTTTAGCACAAGCCCCGCAGCGCCGGCAGCGATGCACCAAATCGGAAGGGTGATCGTCAGCGAGCTGCAGACGTCTCCGCACGCGATGCCGACGTCATCTGCGAAGGCGCCAAATCGAGAACGGTCGGGGGGAAGTCGAAAGATCATGAGGCGGAGGATGGGGTCGGGGCAGAGGGCAAATATGGAACCTGACAATGGGCACCCCTGTTGAATGCCGCGAGTAACCCAGAAGCCGAAAGACGCGACCCCACAATGCGAGACACTGACCCAGCATTGCGAATAAAGCAACTTGATGGCCCAGCGGAACCTCGGGGCTTCGGGGCGAAGGCAAGGCAGACGGGGATGTAATCCGACAGCGTGGTGCGATCGGTGACATTTCCGATGGTCATCGCGCTAGGCTTCAAGTCGAGGATTTCGGCGGTGCACACGTTACACAGAATGCGATCAATACGGGCGACGGAGACAAGCATATCATCACGAACAACACGATGAGTGGGCATCCCTTGCATAACTTCGGCGCATATCGAGAACAGCTGCGCCGCATGCCTGACGACGTCAAGCCTCGTCGGAAACAGACGGCCAGAAAGATGTTCGGGGCCTTCGCCCTCGAGGCAGCAACTCCAGTCACCTGCGACGAAGCTGAGCGCCTGGCACTGCGGGAGTAGAGCACGAGCGACTTGGGAGAGAAAGACCTTTTGGGCAGGAATGGGGATGGTCGGGGCGCTGTGGAAATACATGATCTGGAGAATACCTTGGGGGCCATAGAGGGTAATCAGCCGGGCCCTACCGCGACGGACCACTGAGTGCCGAACACGCTGGAAGTTACGACAGAGCTTCTCGCTCAAGAGGACGACGCAGCCACCTGCATCTCTAGCTTCAAAGAAAGTGACAAATCCGCGGGCGCCGTGAAGTTCGCGGAGGAGGAGAGCGAGTTCTTTCTGGGGGCCTCGGGCACCCTGTAAACAAATCACTTGCTGTCGGGAAACAAGTCGTTATATGAATTCGATTTTTCTTCTTGGCAAGGTTATGGTCGGACCAAGCCGAGATAAACACGCGGTGCACATCCCAAGAAACGATAGAAAGCTTATCAGAAATTACAAATGGGAAATACGATTTGGGGTCAAGGAACTCGACGGGGAGAGGGCCGTCATCTGGGTCGGAGTCGGATGAGGAAGAGGGCGAGGAGGTGGAAGAAGAGGTATTGCTGCTGCTTGAAACTGGAGGGAGGAGTTGGGGCGCGCCCCTCGCGCCTGGTCCTGCGAACCCTGCATGGCCGTGCCATGCTGGGCAAAATGTCGGGAACCCGTTCGAGCTGTTGAACTTCCGATTCGAGAGCGGAGCCTGCAACCGTGTCGGCAACGACGCGATCGATGCCAAAGGACTGGGGGCTCTCGTACTTCATGTCGAAGGTGTAACTGTCTTCGCCGACGTCGGTGAGCGAGGCAAGCACTTCGCCTTCGCCCTGACCGAAGAGGATGAAAAGAATCCCGCGCGGCCCGTTGCAGCCGAGACGGTAGCCTTCCTTCCACATGTTGTTCTCTGTCATGTAGTTGAGCAGAGCTTGCCACCAGCGACCGGGGGCCATGCGACGAGCGCGAACTTCAGCACTGGCGCCTAGGCGGCAGCGCATGTTGATCGCGACCTTGGCGCGGGGGTCGATCCAATCAGCTCCGTTGGTCTTCATCTGCTGCGCTGCGTTGCTGGCGATCTCGGAGGAGGAGAAACGGATGGAGCAACTCATCTGCATGTTCTTGGCGGCGAGCTCGGCGCCGACGGAGTAGACGGCAGGAAGTTGGGAAAGTACAAGTTGCGCATGGGTCTGCATCACTGACCCAAGTACACGGCGTGGGAAGCCACCGAACCAAACGCGGCACTTGTCGGACTCCTGGTTGGCGGTCATCGGGAACGGGTGGCCGCTTCCAACTGCGCGGCGCTTGAGACTGCCAGCGGTAGTGAAGGAATTGACCGAAGACGGGCTGGAGCGCGAACGTGGGGCGGCGGTGGAGGCAGCATGTTCACAGGCTTGAAGGCGAGCCTCGAGCTTCGCGGGAATGGCAGTTTCCACTGCAGCGGTGATCTGTTCGGAGGTGCCATCTTCGATCTGCGCGATGCGAGTCTCGAGCGAGGCCAAGTGTTCGTCGTGGGCGTCGAGACGGGTCTGCAGCTGCTGCATGTCGCCCCTGGCGCACACGTTCAAAAGTTTGTTGTCCACGTTGCGGAGGAGCGCCAGGAGGGAGGACTCATCGTCGGGCGTCGCGCCCGTCTGAGTACCTGGCGTAGGGGCCCAGCGACCACGTGGAGAAGACGCCGCCGAGACAGGGGCACTGGGTAAGCCTGCCATGTCGTCATCATCGTCACCCATCGGCGCGGAGCGGCCTGCCTGCTCCCACTTCTCGGCATCTGCTGAGGTGCCATCGGTCGGAGAGAGTGACGTGATGCGGGACATCTGGACGAAAGGAGAACGAGCCAGCCTCTGAGCTGGCGAGTGCCCGAATGCTCGACAAAAGCCTCCGGAAAGGCTTCAAAGCTAATCGCTGGTTCTCGGGCGTCTATAGCCCCTGAGCCAAAACGGCTACGGAGGAGGGGGGGGGGGGGGGGGAAGGAGGAGGAGGGAGGAGGGAGGAGGAGGAGGAGTACGAGGAGGAGGAGGAGTACGAGGAGGAGGAGGAGGAAGAGGATGAGGAGGAGGGCGGGAGGCGAAGGGAAGGGAAACGACACAACCAGCTTTGCCACACTTCGGCCAGGACCACTGTGAGGAGAGAATGATGGCGATGTGATGGTGCCTGTCGCCTGCCCTTGATCTGTCACCTTGGTGATGCTCATTCGCCTTGTACTATCCTGGGCCACGCTGGCGTGACGATGTGACGCCTGCCATGCTACTCATGACTGTTATGTAGCTGTGCCTGTCGGACTGTCGTGTTCTGATATTCGCCCTCCTTTGACTTCCTCGCTGAAGGCACCTTCTAACGACAAAGACTTCGGACGTCGCGGTTTTGCTCGAGCACGGGTCCCGGATCTAACCGTGACGCCTTCCCCTGGACCAGCATCCCGTCCCGGAGTGTCTCATTGACGCCCTCGGGGCCTGGCAACGGACCTAATATTTGGACATTCGGACATCCGGCCTGCAGTCGAGGTGCGGCGGGGGCACAGCAGGGGGGCGCCGGGGCGCCGTCATGGGTGACACATGGGATGACGCGAGACGAAGCACATAGTCACATAGATAACATGATAAATTACGACGCACCGGTTGGTTGCGCAAGGTGCCCTGATTTGATAGTGTCCCAAATATCCGCAGTTGCAAGTTGCAGCGCATCTGCAAACGTATGTGGTGCATCTGGCCCGCATTGCTGTGCGTGACGTAGTAGACCGTCACACCACCTTGTTTGGGGGCGACCAGCTCGTCGATGTGTCTGCACGTGCACATCTCTCCCGGGCTCCCATTGTAAAACCGATCGTGCCCACTATTTTGTAGTGCTGGTGGCAAGCGTTCGTATCCATTCCTATTTGCGCTGTTTGATAAGTGTGGTCCAGTCGATAATACCAAACTTTGATATAGTGCTGTTCGCATGCAAGGTTGCTCGTTTGATCCAGTCTGGCCAGGGCTCGAGCAGGTCGGTTTCCTCGATGTCGTCTCCAACTGGTAATACGGATGGTGGCCCACTGTCAACCCCCCCCCGCTGTTGACGATCATCCGGAGCATTTGTCGCTGCGTCCAGCGAATCCTATTCTCGAGCTCCTGTGTCATCGTCCATGCCTCACATCCGTACCGCACAGTGGGAGTAATCGTCCCGTGGAACAGCCGGATACGGTTGTTCAGTGAATAACGTGTTCCAGTAAATTCTTGCTTAGACAGATACGACTTCCTCTATGCCAAAACAATCCGGTTCTCCACTTCCGTCTTGTGACTGTCGCTGCACTGGAGCTTGCGTCCCAAGTACCTGTAGCTCGGTAGGGTGGGAGAACTTTTATCTTCATGTCGTGGACGAAAACGTGGGTTGGTGGATGTCGTGTTCGCTTTGGCCTGCGTCCGTTGTGTAAGATGTTGGTCCTGTCTGGGTGTAGTAATAGTCCGGCGTCTGCCGCTTCGGTGATGATGTCAGAAAGCATACCTGCAATGTCGTTGCTTGATCGTGCAATGAGGAGGATGTCGTCGGCAAGTCGTAACATGTCCAGTGTTCAGTAGTTCGTCGCCGTTTGGTAGTAGTGCGACACCGCGCAGTTTGGCTGCCCATGTTTCCTTCACCCTTCTCATAATATACTCTGAAACGAAGTTGAAGAGTAGTGAGCTGAATGGATCCCCCTGTTTTGGTCCACGTTCAATACTACATTCCTTGCTGAAGCGGCCGGTCTTGACTGAGGCCGTCTGCTGATGGGCCACCTTTTGGAGCAGAGTGATATATGGAGGAGGTACATGTTGGTCTTCTGATGCTTTCCATATGGCCGCGTGCGTGACGCTGTCAAACGCTTTCCTGAAGCCGATTGCCGCCATCCAGAGAGGTACTTGCCAGTCGTCCGATATCTCTATCAGAAAAGCCGTTGTGAATTCGCCGGCCCAACGGGCCAGAGGCGTGCTAAGATCTCTGGTAACTGGTTAACAATTCTTCTAGTTCGCGCGCGCGGGGCGGCCCCTGGGGGTCCCCCGGCGAAAAGTACCCCGACCGCAGCCCGGGAAGGTCTACTCAGAGATGGTTGTGAGGGCCCTTTTTCGACACCCCTCACGAGGATTGTGGCCTCCGAGGGGGGTGCACTCGACTACCCCGCCCCAAGAGGCCCCCAAGAGGCCCCCAAGAGCCCCCCAAGAGGCCCAAGGGGGCCCCAAGACGCCGCCAAGGAGCCCCAAGAGACCCCCAAGAGGCCCCGAGGAGGCCCCGAGGAGGCCCCAAAGAGGCTTCAAAGAAGCCCCATAGAGCGCTCGAGGGCCGGCGGAATGAGCGAAACGATTAAATGGTCGGTTGTGCTCCTGTTGGGTCGGAAGCGAGCTTGGTCCCGGCTCTGCTGGCAGACTAATTGAACACACAAGCGGTTGGACAAGAGCTTGGAGAAATCAAACGGTACCGACACCGCGGTGCGTTCTGACCAGAATCTCGAGGCGAATCCAACAGTGGCGACAAGGACCTCAAAAGAGGCCCGAGAAGAGGAATACGAGAAAAGGGTAATGGTATGGATACCGTTTCCTCCCTGGACTTGTTATGTCAATGACGTTGCGCGGGCCCTCGAGTTGACACGCCAGCTGTGAGCGCCCAGGCGGACTCTCGCGCGCGAGGGTGATGTCCCGCGGAGGCCCGGGAACGCCCAGGAACCTTGATCCCTCGACCACTCGATCCCCGATCCCTCGATCCCTTGAATCCTCGAACCCTCGATCCCTCGATCGCCCGACCCGACTCCCGCTGCCACCCGAGGAGGGAGGGAGGGCGGCGCCGTGGTCGTCGCCGGCGCGGAGCTTTGCCGCAGCATGGGCACCTCCTCGGGGGGGCCAGTTCCTCCCGCCCCCTCCTTCGGCGGTGGACAAACCTCCCTTTGATAAACCACCCTCTAGTGAAAACGGCCTAGGACCGAAAACGACGGACCTGGACCCGCACAAATGACGGCCGCGACGCCCTCTCGCGAACCGAAAACGGCCAATCCGCTAATCGACGTGTCAGGGTAGGAGGTCTATCAACCCCCGACACCCCCTCCGCTGACGAGCAACGGTGTAGAAGAAACTGTTCCGCCGTCGGGGACGACGGCCCTAGGGCGGCTGGAAAGTATGTACCCTGACGCGCCTCCGCATATGTACACGCTTTCCAGCCACCCTTGCGCTGGCGCCCCCAACAGCGGGCCATTCGTCGGAATCGTCGGAATCACCTAGCGGTTCCATGATCCGCGGTCTTGGCTCAAGTCAGCACTGGGCGCGCGGCGACGCGGCGGATCTCTCTTGTCGCGGCCCCCTGGCGCGGCGGGTGGTGGCGACGGTCGAGCGCGACAAGGGGCTGGGGGCGATGCCTCCGCTCTTGCGGGCTGCGGCAGCGGGCGCTGCAGGGCTCCGAACCTCTGGGACCGCACATAGAATCCAGTCAAAATCCAAAGAATGCAAGGCCCTTGGTAATCCGATCTACCATTTAGACATCCAAGGACGTCAACATTGGCTCAGGATGGGCCGAAGGAGCAGTGATGCGAGGGCAGCCTCGATGACTCTGCGCGTCCTTACTGTGGATGCTGGCTGCAATCACATCGTCTGGGGACGACCGCAGCGGGCCCAGCACAGGGGGGGGGGGCGACAAGCACCAGGGCCTGGCGGCGGGGCGGGGCCTGGCGGCGCACCCTCCGTGGCGGCGCTCGCCGCCGGCCGGGCCGGCCCGGCGGGGCCGGCCGCCCGCCACCGCACGCCGCGGAGCCCTCTGAGGGCGGCGGGCCGCGCGCGGACCACCGCTCTCGAGGCGGGCGGGCACGACGGCGCAGGCGGGCACGCGCGAGGGGCTCCGTACGCGGAGGGGGCGCGCGAGGAGGCCTCGGGGGACCGGCGCGGCAGCCCCGCAGGCTGCGGCAGCGCGGCGCCAGCTCGGCGGCGAGCAGGCGCCGAGGTCGGGCCTGCGGCCACTGCGGGCGCGGCCCGCGCCCGCAGTCGAACTTCTCGACGGGCAGGAAGCTGGCGGAAGGCCGGCACGGAGCTGGCGGAAGGCCCGGCGGCGCGACAACTCCGCTTTCACCCTGGCGGGCCGCGTCCGCATCGGGGCCGCGGAGGCTGCACGCTGCCGCGGCGCGCGCGGGCCTGGACGTTCGGACGGGGAGTACGCGGGTGGCAAACGGTGAGAGCAACGGTGACACACGGAGCACACGGAGGGGAGAGAGGACGGCAGCGACGCCAGCCGGCAAGAGCAGCAGCTGAGGCCACGGCGAGGCGATGCTCGGCGCGGAGCTCGCTTCCGCGGGTGACCTGCAGCACGGCGAGACCGAGCAGCGCGACCAACTCCTGCAGCGAGGCCGATGGCGCGGACGCCGCCCGCCACCAAAGGAGATGCTGAGCGGTTCCGCCGAGGAAGAGAAGGCAGCTGCGAGATGCTTTGACAGCGAGGCCCTTTTCTGTAACGCCCTGCCCAGGGCGGAGGCCGAAGGACTCGCTCGCCCCCCCGCCCTTGGCCCCACCGCGGGGCCGGATTGCAGCGTTGGGTTGGGCCGGCCAGCGCGGGTCCGCCACCTTCCCCACCAGCGGCTGGGCCGCAAACTGCCGACTGCCACGCGTCAGCCGGCAGTTCCCAGTGACCACCATCATCGTCGTCGTCGTCATCTCAGAGGAAGAAGGTGGTCCCGATACCACAAGCCTTCCCTCGCCGCCACCTCTGCACTCGCCCCTAAAATCCAGGGCAGAGCGCGCCGCAGTAGCGGAAGCGGTTACTTCCCCTTCCTGCAGTCATTCCTCCTCCTATTGCACATCAGCCCCGTCTCCTGCTCCTGAAGCCCTCTCTGCAGCATGGGAATCCGTGGGTGTGGCGTGCCCACGGGCTCAGCGCAGGCCACGGTGCACGGGACCATGCCTTCAGCTGGCTGACGCCAGGAGGCTGGGAACGACACGTGGCTGGATTCTCGCGCAGAGCCCCACGCGCTGGATTCGCATGCGGAAGCCTGGCCTCCACGGCCATGCCAGGGCCGAGCGCTGGAAGCACACGTGGCCAAGTGTGTATCCAGCCGACGCCCCGGCTGGCCGCCTCGTGCATCCGCCCGCCACCCCGGCAGGACGGCACGAGGGAAGCACCTGGCAGCACACCGACAGCATTCCCGAGGGCTCTGCTGGCGCGGCGGAGGACGGAGAGACGCACACGGCGGAGGGGCGGCATCGCGGCGGACGAACGGAGATCAGGACAGTCTGGCCATCGCTCGGACGTCCATTCCCTGTGTTTTTCTCGGTTTCGTGCGTGGTTTTTCAACAGATGGTCGAGGATGCTCCTCGATGCTCCTCGCCGAAGGAAAAATGCACACGTCCGAGCGATGCCAAGTAGTTGGCGAAGGTGGGTTAGCGAATATCCCGCCCCTGCCGTCCGGCCCCGGAGGGGGGAAAGGGGGAGAGAGGAGCAAGGCAGGACGGCGGAGCGGTGGTCTTCTGGCCCCCGTGGTCCTGGTCCAGCTCCAGCTCCGCCAGCGCCTCCGGGCGAGCCCGTCTCGACCCCCCCCGCTCCTGCCGGCCCCGTCGACAAGATCGCCCCAGACAGACTCCTGCGTCGTGCGCGGGCGCACTGGGACAGCAGCCAAACCAACCAGTGCACTCTCGATGGGGGGGGTCGCGCCGAGGAGTGAGTGCTGGGCGGGGTGCCCGGTGGCCGCAGACTCTCTTCCCATCTCCCATGATGGCGACGGGACAAGTTTCTCTGCTGGAGGCCCGCTATGCGGGGTGCGCCCCGCTGGGCGCAGGGTCTTCAGAGGAACGGCACGCGGCGGCGTAGATGTTGTGCTAGGGGGTCATGCGCCTTGGACCATTGCATTCGGACCGTGTAGCTGCTGGAGCAGGTGTTGTCTGCGGGCGACCAGCGTGCTCGATAAGGCATTGCTTTTCTCCCGCGTTATCTGTCACCTCGCGCGCCTGGATTTCAACATTCGCCCGGGTGCGCCTCCGATTCGTTGCATGGTGCCGTCGGCCGCAACTTACTCCCTCGACGTTGAGACCGGGAGGTCCGTGGAGGGGGGGCGAGCCACATGCATATCTATCTATCTATATATATATATATATATAGATATGTATATATGTATGGTTGTAAAATGGTAATCGAAAAAAGACTAGGTACAATAACTATACGTATACTGTGTATGAAAAACGCAGCTGTTGCCTCATTTCGCACATCGCGCCCCCCGATGCGCGAGCTGATATTCGCGCTGTCGCGCCGCCCCCTTGCGAAGGTCTGCTCACCCGCTCCAGCCCCGACGCGAGAAGCGCAGATATCCTGGCGCTCCTGGGAGTGACCTGCTGCGGGTTCGTGTCGTGTCGACCCCAGAGATGATTCCAGACACTGCGGGGACCTTTCGACCTTGAACGACCGCCGTTTCTGAAACGTAGAATTCTTCCATATCGGCCGATTCTGGGTCGCCCGCTGAACTTTGAACGCCAGCGGCGGCGAAGGTCGACACGACGCGAACCTGACGTAGAAAACATGGGCCGCAGCAACAACGGACTCAGGGCCCCAGTAACGGTGTTCGCATGCGTTCCCCGTACCCATTTCGGCACACACCCCTCGCACGCTTCGTGGCCCCATAAGGAGCTCCACCGAAGGACCCAATGGCAGTTCTCGCATGCGCCCCCCGCACCCATTTCGGCACACACCCCTCACACGATTCGTGGCCCCATAGGGAGCTCCACCGAAGGATCCATCGTGGACCGCGCTCCCACCAGCTTCACGAGCCGCGCCCGGCCGCGGCGAGCGGCGACGAGAGGCGGCCCCTGAAGAGTCCCAAAGAAGCGAGGGCACTACCAAAAGACGAGGAGTAAACAGAACAGCCGCGAGGGTGAACAAAAACCGGGGTGTCACCCTCCCCTGGGGTCTTATATCTTCGTCTGTTGTTTTAATCTGCTGTATGCCCCCGCACCGAGTCCACCCCTGCTCGGGGTGCACGGAGCGTGTGCGACGGGACGCGCACGCCGCGGTCGGAGGGCCCGAGGCGAGGCAAGACCGCCCTCAGTCCGAGTTGCACGACCCGCGGGCGGCACCTGTGGGGGCAAGCATCGACCTGGAATCGGCGACATATCGCCGATAGATCGGCGATAATTAGGCCCCCGGTCGTGAATCCGCACCTTCCTGGGCGGGGTGGGGCCATTGGACCCCTGTCGGCGATCGATGGGCGATTGGGGGTCGATGCATCCCCCGCTGCGCCTGCAGCCTCCCCTCCCCCGTCGTTGCCCCTGACCCCTCCCTCCTCCCTTACAGGACCAAGCCCGCACCTCGCCTGGAGTCTCCAGTTCGGGGCGGGTTCTAGCCGAGGCGACGAGGGACGCGCCCTGAGCGTGTTAGGTCAGCGAGTGCTGCTCGACAGTCCCCGTCCTCACCCTCGAGTGGGCTTCTGGGCCGGATTCGGGCCCCAGGCGGCCGTTCGAGACAATACCACGCCTCCCCGATGGCCCTCGACGGAGCACATCAGCTCAAGGACAGCGCCCTGGAGAACCTCCTCGCCCGCCTCCTCCTTCTCCTCCTCCTCCTCCTTCTCCTCCTCATCTTCGCTATTCCACCCCGCGTGGTATACACACACACACACTTGCGGATAGCTCAACGGACAGCTCCTCCGTCGTGGCCAGACTGGCTCAAGCTTGCCTCCAAACCCCTGGACTGCAATCTTCCCGCACGGCACGCACGTTCCCGGACCGGGGAGTTTGAGCATACGGCCCGGCGGCATGGCGTGGTCCTCGCCGCACGGGACGCGCAAGCCCAGCGGGTGCGGCAAGAGGAGCCCCACGCCTCGGAGGAGCCGCAGGACCAGCCTGCCCCTGGGCGTGGGCCGTACCGGGTCGGTCAGCTCGGCCGGCGCTGCGGGCAACGTCGGGGAAGGGGGAAGGGTTGGTGCCAAAGCCATCGGCTCATCTGCTCCCTGCTGACGAAGGCACTGGCAGCAGTGAGGAGTGGATGCTTCGACGCAGCGCTTGAGCACTCTCGAAGCGCCTGCGGCGTGTCCTCATTGCCATCTGGACCGCGACGTGGAGCCTCCTCCCATGAGGTGTATTCCCGCGGTGGATGCAGGGCTTCTGCTGTCCTGCGAGCCACGGGCTTGAGCATGTCCCCGGGGCTGCCTCGCCTGCAGGCGCGTCGTGATGAGAGGGTGGCGGGACGGCGTGGTGCAGTCCGTGCAGGTTCAGAGTGTGCATGCCGTGTTGTGCTCTTTTCATCGCCATCTTCGGAGAGAGGGGGGCCATGTGCAGAGAGGGCCGCGTCGGCTGTTCGTGCTTGTCGACTGCTGGATTGTTGGTTTGACGGCGTGTTCGTGCATTTTGACGGCTCGGCGAAATGTTCCATTGCGGTGACTCCTGGCTTCGTAAGGGGATGGTGCTGCTGCGTCTGACACACGATGGGTGTGTTTGAGATTGGGTTCCTTCTAGTTTCCATTGTCATGACCTGGGAACAGGCCGTGCACGTGGGAGCGCGATTCTTCAACATGGCAGCTATACAAATGACCCCTGCGATTGCGACTGGGGGCATCAAAGCGTCGAGGTCGACATTCGAAAAGGAACTTCCCTTCTGCTCCTCGACCTCCTCCCTCCTATCCTCCTGCGCCGAAGGAAAAAAAACGCCGCGGTCTTCGCCGCCCTGGCCCCTCAAAGTCGGACGCCAGACCTTTCCTGGAGCCCGCCGTGCCTGGATAGCCGGGGCGGGCCCAGCGGTGGCGACGAGGGCGCCCGCCCAGGGGGGCCAAAGGATGCAGAATCCCGAACATCTGTCCTACCTGGTCGTCGCAAGTAGGGACCGTCTGCCCCAAGCGAAACTCAGTCTGGGGAGCCCCAGGCAGAGCGGTGACCACACAGTGTGGTTAGTCAGTGGGGATTCCGGGTGGCCGCACGGTTTCGGAACTCGGATCGTTCTCAGAAGACGTCTCGGGCGACTGGGGCCTCCAGTGACCCAAGACCGTGCGGTCACGGACAGTACGGTGAAGTCTTTCGGCATTTCCAAATAACTGTGCAGTCAAGCTGCTGCAATTAGGATCGCTGAATAAGGAACGAAGCCTCTTTTTCGCCACCTCAAGGGCCTGGGTGCACGGGGAGGGCTAGCGGAACAACCACAAAATGACCCAAGGAACAGCGAGCACCTTCCGAACCCAAAACGGTCAATATTTCTGCGTCGTGACCGTACGGTTTGTCACCGCACCGCCGCACTGCCTTAGGCCTCTCAATCAATGCGTGGTACCAGACCTCTGCTGGCCAAACGGATCAAAGACATTATACCAGACCTATCCTGGGGTCCATGTTACCCAATGATCCGAGACGTGCCCAGTCGTGGCGACGAGGACTTCTAGGAACGCCCCGAAGCCCTCAGGAAACGTTGACGTCGACGGTGTTGTCGTCGCCGCCGTCGTCCCCAGACCCCCGACGGAGGCAGTCTTTTCCAATCCGCGGATCCCGGAGGTCTCAGGGTCCCCTCCCCCAGGACGACGCTTCGCCTCAGCTTGACGTCTGATCCCCCCGAGGCCCGAAAACGCCCCCCACCCCACCCCACCCCCACCCTCCACACCCAAGATCGGGTGCGGCCCTAGCAAGCCATCCCCTTCTGTGACGTCACCCTATCCTTTCAAGCTTTCCTCCAGTCGCATACATCCGTCTTGGGGCGAGGAAACCTTGACGTCACGGACGGGCATGGTGTGCTTGACGCCCGTTCGGCTAGCCCTGCCCAGAGGCCGACGCAGAAGAATCGCGGCCAGGTTCCAAGGGCGCCTTACTTCGCGCTTCGCGCTGCGCGAAGCGCGAGCAACTTCGCGCTCCCGCGCAGCCCCCCAAGGGAGAAGATGAACGAGGAGGAATCGGAGCCGAACCGCAAACCGCGAAGTGCGAATAACTTCGCGCCCTCGGGGTCGCCCTTGAGGTTCGGGGACGCGCCAGCCCGGGTCAGCGCCAACCCGGGGTTGTTAGCCAGGGCCGTGCCGCGGACACGGACCGGCCGCGCAGCTAGGTCCCAAACCTGGGGGTCAGCGGAGGCAGGGCCCTCCGTTGCGGGCACGACGTCTGTGCAGCCAACCCGTATGACAAGGACGCACGAGAAGGATGCAAGGGCCTTGGAAAGCCAGGTTGATGCCTTTCGAGTTGGGCTGGCCAGCGACAGTGGCCAAGGATGGGCCGAAGGGGAAGGATGCAAGGGTAACCTTGGAAAGTCGCTGATCCTTACTATGCGGGTTGACTGTATCCATAGCCAATACGTTTTGGACGTTCTTGGGAAGGGGCGCCACACGACCGAGTCGCAGTGGGCATGGACAAAATCTAATCTCTAGGGACCAGGCTGCTGTCCATGTCCACTGCGCCTCCGGTTTCGGAGGAAGGGAACCCGAAAAACCAAGACGCAGAGGATGTGCACACAGTGTCACACAACTCTTGCCCGCACCCGTGGCTCTCAGACCTGCCCCAGCCAGCAGGGATTGATGATTGTTGGCTGACGCCCAACAGCTTTGCACCCGCCGCCTGTCCAGGGCCCCCCGTTTGGCTTTTTGGACCCTGTGGCTCGGGGTGCAAGCGGCTGGTTGGAAAAAGCCTGGCATTCCCGCAACGCTTTCGACGAGGCGCAGCTGATAGAGAACATCCAGGGGCCCGAAAACCACCAGTGACTCCCGAAGCATCGAACATCTAAAGACTGGAAACTATGTGGGGGGCTGCCTGACTCCGAGGAGGCCACATCAATCTGGAATCGGCGACACATCGCCGATTGATCGGCGAAAGGCCCCGGTTGCAAAGACACACGTTCCTGGGCAGGGTGGTGCACCCGGGCCCGAATGGCTAGAAATGGGCGCACCCGAGAAAACTCTGGTGCGCCCCAGACGGAGGTATGTGCACATTGTGGCCTGGCTCATGTGCGCGGATGAGCGGGGGGCCAGGGGACGTGCTGAAGCAAGAGGAAGGGGCCATGAAGTCCGGGGGTCGTCCTGGCCCTGGCCTTGCACCCCCCACCAAGTCCTCACCCCCACCTCTTGGACCCCCCCCCGCGTACAACCCCCGCCCGACGTCCAGGCCGCCGTCGCTGCGTCGGCGGGCCTCGCTCAGGTCGCCGCCGCTGGCCGCGTCCCCCCTCGCGCCGCCCTCGTCCGCCGCGGGCGCGGCCCCCGCCTCTGGGCCGCGGCGCGCCGAGGCGATGACGACAGGAGACGGTGAAGCAGTGCCGAGGGCGCGCAGGCAGGAGCGGTCAGCATCCAATCGGGGAGATCGGACCGGGCCCGAACGTGCGTCGGATCGGGGCGCATGGGCACGGGGGCGGAGTCGGGTCGGACCGGCGGCGCCCAGATGCACCACAGCGCCATATGCGAACACAAGGCCGCATCGGGTCGTCGGAATCGAGGCGGATTGAGGCAGCAGGAGCCGATACCGAATCGGACCGGTCGGATCGGGATGGGCCCTGCGTGTGTGATGCACGAGCGACCCTCGATCGAAATGAAATGCAATGCGTGCGGAGCCGCCTCGCGTGGCACAGAAGCTCGGTGCAGCCGCCTTCACTCAGCCTAGGTCAGGCGAAGAAGACAGAATCTATGTTGCATCTTCGGGGGTTGGTTTGTCCTGTCCCATCGCGCCGCTGGCCGCGATCAATCTGCGTCGAATCCATGTCGACCGCGACGAATCCACGTCCAAGATGCGTCGAATCCACGCAGAGTGCGCGTCGAGTCCGCGTCGAGCCCATGCCAGAAACAAGAGGAGACGGCCAGGAAACGGCCATCTACAGCACGGGCAAGATCTCCCGAACATGCAATGTAACGCGTAGGGGGGGGGGGGGGGGGCAAGAGGTATCCCTGGCCCCAAGGTGCCCCCAACTTTTCGCGCAGTGGGGGAGGCAGAGGCCCTGGGGGCGCTCTGGGCCGATGATCCTCAGAACTTGTGCTAGCGCCAACGTGTGTGCGTGTGTGTGTGTGTGTGTGTTCTACCGAAGCCCTTCAGTGCGTGCGACGCAGGCAACGTCACAGGGCCCACACAGGCTGCATGGCATCGGTGGATCTGAGCGGAGTCAACGCACGCTGGGCTGAGACACGTCCTGGGGACCATCGACTGGAGGCCACCTGGGCCTCCCTGGAAATGCTGGGGCCAACTCGGGCCAAGGTTCTAGCACCATCCGAAACGCAACGTAAACCGCGCGCCTTCCGGGCAACGATCACAGCGCCCGCTCGGAAAACAAAAAACAATTACTCACTGCGTGGAGCTCCCCATATGTGCATCTCATGTTTTATGTCATGCCATTGTGAGCGTCGGTTCATGAGCGCGTGACCATAATAGCGCGTCCACGTGGGCGACAGGGCCAACGAAGACGAGTGAATCCTAATGCGAGTGAGTGAGTATGAGTCAAAGTGAGCTTTGAGTATGATTGAATACGAGCCTCCCATTCATTCCCCCTCCTCAAACTGGCCGCGAACGGGGCCGTGAAAACACCAGTGGCGGTTCCCCTTAGGGGTGCTGAAACCAGCGCCCCGCCTGAGACATCCTCGCAATCTGTTCTGAAAGCCAGCGATGTTGGGTATGAAAACGGACAAACCGCCTGAGACATCCCCACAAACTGGCCGCGAACGGGCCCGTGAAAACACCCCTGGCGGCTCCCCTTTAGGGGTGCTGAAACCAGCGCCCCGCCTGAGACATCCTCAACATCTGCTCTGAAAACCAAGGATGTGGGGCATGAAAACAAGCAAACCGCCTGAGACACCCCCCCAAACTGGCCGCGAACGGGCCCGTGAAAACACCCTTGGCGGCTCCCCTTAGAGGTGCTGAAAGCAGCGCCCAACCTGAGACATCCTCAAACTCTGATCTGAAAACCAAGGATGTTGGGCATGAAAACAAGCAAACCGCCTGAGACATCCCCACAAACTGGCCGCGAACGGGCCCGTGAAAACACCCCTGGCGGCTCCCCTTAGGGGTGCTGACACCAGCGCCCCGACGGAGACATCCTCAAAGTCTGATCTTAAACCAAGGATGTTGGGCATGACAACGAACAAACCGCCTGAGACATCCCCACAAACTGGCCGCGAATTAGCCTGTGAAAACACCCCTGGCGGCTCATGGCCCCAAGATGGCCCCAAGAGCCCCCCCAAGAGGCCCCCAGGAGGCCCCCCAAATGATTCCAAGCGGCCCAAAGAGGCCCCCCTCCGAGGCACCCAAGACGCCGAAGACCACCTCCCCCTACCCCCTCCCCTGGACCTGGACATGTGGGTTTCGCGAGGTGTCGGAGCGTCCAAAACGGCCTCGGCGAGGAAGCCAAACTCATTGGCGTTACAAAGGTTTTGGCCCCATGTTGGCCTCCTGAGGGGGGGGGGGGGGGGCAAATTAGACACCCCCCTACTGTGATCGATCCCACCCAAGATGGCCCAAAGATGGCCCCCAAGGATGCCCCAAGAGGGCCCCAAGAGGTGGCCAGGAAGCCCCAAGAGGCCCCCAGGATGCCCCCAGGATGCCCCCAAGATGCTCCCAAGAGACCCCCAAGAGGCCCCAAGATGTTCCAAGAGGCCTCGGCGAGAATGCCAAATCATTGATTTTACTAAGGTTTTAGCCACACGTCGGCCTCTTGGGGGGGGGCACTGATTCAGATGACTCCAAGAGCGCCTGGGAGAGCCCAAGATGACCTCCAAGATGGCGCAAGATATCCCAAGATGTCTCATAATGGCTCCCACGATGCTCCAAGATGCCCCAAGACCGCTTCAAGGCGGCTCGCAGTGGCCAAAGAGCTCCCCCAGGAGGCCCCGAAGAGGCCAAAACCTTAGGAAATTCTTTGGCTTTCTCGCCTTTTCGCTTCCGATGGCCATCCGAGGCCTCAAGATGGCTCCAAGATGGCCCAAGAGGGCTCCAAGAGAGGCTCCAGAGAGCCCCAAGACGGCCCAAAGAGCGCCCCAAGAGCGCCCCAAGAGGCGAGTGTCTGGGCTCCCGAGGGGCAACGGTAACTAGTGTTCGCTTCTTGTTTGATCGATGTCCCCCCAACCCCCCTCCTGGTACTTTCTCTCGTGTCCCCATCCTCCTCCTTCCCCCTGCCTATTCCTTCCATGAGTTTTCTCTTGCCTGAGACAATTCCACGCGTCGCCTTCGCGACCGTCACATCCGACAGGAACCACCTCCGTGCCCGAATGGCCTTGGGAGGAAGAGCGCGCAGACGTGGCAGGGAGCTCCCTTGGTGTAAGCGGGAGCCCCTCGGCACCGAGGATGAGGGAAGCAATGAGGGAAGGCGATTGGGGTTCGTGGCTCGTCGTTGCTTCCGCCTCTGGGCCAGTCACCCCTTGCCTCAAGGCCGTTCGCGGCGACAGCAACATCGAGGACCGATCGAAGCGGCAGCGAAACCGAAATCGACAGGCCGCATGCAGCCAAGGGCGAAGCGGCGCGGCAACGGCACCATACCCACCGAGCCGAACCAACCATACGCATCCGACCGCGACGCAGCCGAATGCACCGAACCGCGAACACCCCTGCTTGCCCCTCCCTGGGGAGAGCGGGGGCAGGCTGGGAGGGGCGGGCCGGCGCCGCGCGCGGCCTCGCCCACCTCCTCCTGGGGCGCCGTCGCGGGTCCCGCCGCGAGCACCCCCGCCCGCCCACGTGCTTGCAGCGCTCGGCCAGGGCACCCCGCTCCGCTCCCTCGGGCCCCGCGCGGTTCTCTGCGCGCCGTCGCGCAGCCTGCGTGGAGGAGGGGGCCTCGCCGATCCAGGCCGCGAGGCGCGACGCGCGGTGTATCTTCACTCCCCTGCGGGTGACCTGGCTTAGGAGGCAGCTCGTGGGAGGTCGTCGCGTCGGAGAGGCGTAAAGGGGGGTAGGGCTAGAGGGCGGGTGGTGAGAAAATCGCTCTGGACGGCCGTGGGGGGGGGGGGGGGGGGGGGGGGGGGTGGGGGGGGGGGGGGAAAAGCCTCCAGCTGGACTCGCTCCATCATCCCACCTTGGGGGAACCGCCCCTTTGCGAGCCACCGATCGTGGACGCCCCTGAGCCAAACAAGGGCATTTCAAGTTCGTCCTGAGCCTGATCAGGCTGAATTCGGCCACGCTTCGAGCCAGACTGAGCAGGATCAAGCGGGACCAGCCCGCTCTGGACTGAGGATTTCCTGGGGCCGATGCTCACTTCAACCTCCCTTGGAAATTACAGCCTGAAGCGCTCTCCACCGCCTCCATATGCCCCCCCAAATCCGACGTCGTGAGCGGACCCCCGGGAAGGCCTGTGCAAGTGGCCTTCCAGCGCGCCCTTTCTCCGCCGTGCTCCTCCTCCTCCTCCTCCTCCGCCTCCTCCTCCTCCTCCTCCTCCTCCTCCGCACACTCGTCCTCCTCCTCCTCCTCCTCCTCCTCCTCCTCCTCCTCCTCCTCCTCCTCCTCCGCACACTCGTTGTCCTCCTCCTCCTCCTCCTCAAAATCCTGCCCTCCTTCACCTCCTCCTCGTCCTCCTCGTCCTCCTCCAGTTCCTCCAATTCCTCCAGCTTCTCCGCCTCCTCCTCCCCCCTTCCCTCGTCCATCACCCTACCCATCCGGTGCCAATCGCCCCTGCCATGTTTCCGCTCCCCCATACCCATATCACCTTTCACGCCCCCCCCCCTTCCACCCCTCTTCGCCATCCCTCCCCCCCCCTCCCCTTCTCCGCCTCCTCCTCCCCCGCCATCTCATGTCCTCCTACCCGTCCCCATGCCCTGTCTCCCCTCCCAAACCCGGGCTGCCCACGCCTCGTATCCTCCGCACTCCTCTCGCCCTCCCTTCCCTCACCTCCCCCCCTCCCAAGCCTTGCTAGACCACCCCATCTCCCCCTTCCCTCATTGCCCCTCCTCTCCCTGACCTGTACTGGGCGCCACATTCCACTCGTATGCACTTAGAGCCGTTCGAGACGCGGCCCCTCGAGGGCCACCAGCAGAGCGAGAAACTACGTAGCACCCCGCAGTTGCAGATAAGAGTTAAGGAGCGAACGCGCGGTGGGTCGCGGGTGGGTCGCGAGAGAGAACGACCACAGCAACCACAACAACAGCAACAGCAACAGCAACAGCAACAAAAACAACAATCATATTACCCTCATGCGCGATCTTTACACACGAAGCATGCGACCATCATGATAACCATCCACATCATGGGGAACTCTTGTTCTGTAGCGGGGTCCGTTATTCCCATTCCCAGGTGTCCCGCCCAATGAGGTCTTGCAAACACGTCCTCCGAGGAACTTCAACTGATCCCGCCTCGGAAACACATGCCCGCGCCCTGCTGCGCCGATGCGAGACCGCCAGTGGAACCCCAGCGACGGGTAAAGCAGAAGGAAGTATCGAACGACAGTATTGCCTTGGTGGGGAAGGGGGCTGTCGGCGGCGAGGCAAGGACCTGGCACTGAATAGAAAGGGAGGAAGTCTCGAGCAGGGGTACTGTAATTGCTGGGAACGGCGCCAATGCAGAGGAAAGTTGGGCGCTAGTCCAGCGTAAAACAAAACGAAGTCTCGATCGGGAGCGCTGGTTCTGTTGGGGCGGTGGTTGTCGGCGGCGAGGAACAGCACCGTTCTCAGGAAAAAGAGAGGAAGCCTCGGTCGGCGCAAATTCAAAAGAGAGTTGGGCGCCAGTCCAGCGTAAAACGGGAGGAAGTCTCCAGCGGGAGCGCTGGTTTTGTTGGGGCGGCGGTTGTACAGGCCGCGAGCCAGAGCACCGGCTCTGAGTAAAAAAGGAGGCGTCTCGAGCGGGAGCGTTGTTTGCTGGGGGCGGCGCCGAAGACAGAAAGAGTAGCGCGCCAGTCCAAGGTAAGACGGGGAGAATCCTCGAGCGGGAGCATTGGTTTTGTTGGGGCGGCGGTTTTCGGCGGCGAGAAAGAGCACCGGCTCTGAGTAGAAAAAGGGGAAGTCTCGAGCGGAAGCGCTGTTGTTGTTGGTGGTGGTGGTGTTGATGTTGTTGCTGTTGTTGTTGTAGTTGTTGTTGTTGTAATGTTTTGTTTGTTTGTTTGTTTGTTTGTTTGTTGTTTGTTTGTTTGTTTGTTTGTTTGTTTGTTTGTTTGTTTGTTTGTTTGTTGTTGTTGTTGTTGTTGTTGTTGTTGTTGTTATTGGTGTTGGTGTTGGTGTTGGTGTTGGTGTTGGTGATGTTGTTGTTGTTGTTGTTGTTGTTGTTGTTGTTGTTGTTGTTGTTGTTGTTTGGGGGCCCGTTGTGGCGCCCCGCCAAACCGCTCGAGCGTGAGCCTCCGTTCCAATGCACATGTAGCCAGCGCCGAGGCGAGAGCGCCAGAGCGCCTGGGGGGGTCCAACAATAATAATTGTTTGGTAATGAACATTCAACAACAACAACAACAACAACAACAACAACAACAACAACAACAACAACAACAACAACAACAACAACAACAACAACAATAGCAACAACAACAGCAACAAGAGCAACAACAACAATAAGCTTACCCTCATGCGCGATCTTTCCACACGAAGCATGCGACCATCATGATAACCATCCACATCATGGGGGACTCTTGTTCTATAGTGGGGTCCGCAATTCCCGTTCCCAGATCTCCCGCCCAATGAGGTCTTGCTAACACGTCCTCCGAGGAACTTCAACAGATCTCGCCTCGGAAACACATGCCCGCGCCTTGCTGCGCCGATGCGAGACCGCCAGTGGAGCCCCAGCGAAGGGTAATTAAAGCATAAGGAAGTATCGAACGACAGTATTGCCTTGGTGGGGATGGGGTCTGTCGGCGGTGAGGCAAGGACCTGGCCCTGAATAGAAATGGAAGACGTCTCGAGCAGGGCTACTGTTGTTGCTGGGAGCGGCGCCCATGCTGAGGAGAGTAGGGCGCTAGTCCAGCGTAAAACAAAACGAAGTCTCGAGCGGCCGGTTTTGTTGGGACGGCGGCTTTCGGCGGCGAGGAGGAACACTGCCTTGGGGAAGGAAGGACGAAGCATCGAGTGGGAGCCGTGGTTTTGTCGTGACGGGAGCTGTCGGCGGCGAGGATCAGCACCGTCCCGAGGAAACATAAAGGAAATCTCAAGCGGGAGCGTTGTTCTTGCTGGGAGCGGCGCCAATTCAAAAGAATAGGGCGTCAGTCCAGCGTAAAACGGAAGGAAGTCTCGGGCGGGAGCGCTGGTATTGTCTGGGCGGCGGTTTTCGGCGGCGATGAGGAGCACCGCCTTGAGTAAGAACGTGAGGAAGCCTCGAACGGGAGCGTTGTTTTTGCTAGGGGCGGCGCCGATGAGAGAAAGAATAGCGCGCCAGTCCATGGTAAAACGGGAGGAAGTCTCAAGCGGAAGAGCTGGTTTTGTTAGGACGGCGGCTTTCGTCGGCGAGCAAGAACACCAGCCCTGATTAAAAGAGGAGGAAGTCTCGAGGGGCAGCGTTGTTGTTGTTGTTGTTGTTGTTGTTGTTGTTGGGGGGACGGTTTTGGCGGTCCCCAAACCGCTCGAGCGGGAGCCTCATTTTCAATGAAAAAGTAGCCGGCGCGTCGGCGAGAGCGCCAGGGCGCCTGTAAGGGTTCCAACAATAATAACTGTTTAGTACTTAGCATTCAACAACACCAACCACACTAATTTTACAACAGTTTGTTCTTATTCGATCGCTTGCCACGCAATGCGTATATCCCGAGCCCTCGATACCCGCCCTCTTTGTCTTCGACCGTACCTCCTCGGGGGTATATCTTCCTTGCCTGCCACGCATATTTAGCGTAGACCGTAACACAGGGAAGGGGGGATGGATGGGAGAAGAGAAAGATGGACCACGAGAAAGGGCCTCTCGGAGAAAATCGCGAGGAAGTATTGAGCGGGACCCCTTGTCATCGCGGCTGCGCCCCCACTAATTTGACTGAGTTGCCAGTAAGTCTCAAGCGAGAGCGCTGTTACTGAATTCGGACACCTCTCTGGCCAGGGCCTCCCGGAGTAAACCGCGAAGTAATATCGAGCGGGAGCCTTGTCGTCGCGGCTGGGCATTCCCAAACTTGATTGAATGCGAAGGAATATTCTGCGAGAGCGCCGTTCCTGGGGCCTCTGCGGGCTGGGGCCTCTGTGGGCGCGCTTGGGGCCTCTTTAAGCTGCGCTGGGGAGCCTCACTGGGCAGCGCGCGGGGGCCTCTGTGAGCGCGCTCGGGGCCTCTGTGGGCTGGGGCCTCTGTGGGCTGTGTCGGGGGCCTCAGTGGGCAGCTCGTCGGGGCCTTTGTGAGCGCGCTTGGCGCCTCTGCGAGCTGGGGCCTCTGTGGGCGCGCTTGGGGCCTCTGTGGGCTGTGTCGGAGGGCCTCAGTGGGCAGCGCGCTGGGCCCTCTGTGGGCGCGCTTGGGGCCTCTGCGGGCTGGGGCCTCTGTGGGCGCCTGTGGGGCCTCTGTGGGCTGCGTCGGGAAGCCTCACTGGGCAGCGCGCTGGGGCCTCTGCGGGCGCACTTGGGGCCTCTGTGGGTTTGGGCCTGTTTGTGGGCTGCGTCGGAGGCCTCAGAGGACAGCGCGTGTGGGCGCGCTTGAGGCCTCTGCGGGCTGGGGCCTCTGTAGGCGCGTTTCGGGCCTCTGTGGGCTGCGTCGGGAAGCCTCACTGGGCAGCGCGCTGGGGCCTCTGCGGGCGCGCTTGGGGCCTCTGTGGGCTTGGGC